AACAATGCTACGAGAAGTTTTATGAAGCAGAAGTTAAAATTTAAAGTTGAGTAATAAATATCAATATACTAATTTGTTTTCCTTTGAATTTTTTTTAATAACCGTTTAAATGTTAAAAATATTTTTAAAAGTATGATAATACAAATATAAAATTTGTAAATTCTAATTATCTATTTGAGTAGAGAGGAGCTACTTAATTTTTTTGTTAATAATAAATATAAAATGGCTACAGAATTATTACAGAGGTATTTTTTTTGAGATAGGAAACTTTCTATATTGTACCTTTCAGCGCCTAGAAATCTCAAATTGTAAGTAAGTTTATTGAGTTATCTTTGCATACATTTAGTATTGTACAATAGCGCAATGTTAAATCTAGAAATAAACTAAGAAACAACTCAATACAAGAAATAGTAGCTAAGAGACATGTAAAAAAAGGGTCGACACTAAGATCAAAACAAATATAAAAACAAAAAATACCAGGCGGGATTAAGCACTAATAGATTAAAAAGAAAGAGATACTAATTATTAAAATAGGAATTACACCAATTGATATTCTGCAAAGATTAAAAAATTAGAAAATATGTTGTACTAGCCAATAGACTTATCTAAATACATGACTTAGAACATATTATTTTACAATTTGTAATGGCACAGTAAGTAGTTATCATGAGATCACAGGAAAAGGCTTGAGATTTCAACCAAGATAAAAGCATATATCGAACCAATAGTACTAAAGAAAACCTTAGAAACCATTTCCTTAGACTTTAGAAGGCAGGGAAATGTGACCTGATAGATGGTAGTAAAGCGATGTTGGCATCTTTAAGCCTACCAAATCTCAATCAAATCTAAATTTTTTAAGTAAATAGGAAAACAGACAAATTGCTTCATAGTTTAATTATTATACTCTTAATTTGTCTTTTATTAAAGGTTGCAGGTTGTGTATTTGTTGTTGTTCAGTAATTAACAGAGGTAATATAAAAAAATATTTATAGGTCAAATATTTTCTAGAAAAAGCATAAAGAGTAAAAATAAAAAATGACATTTGGAAATAATACCACAATTATGAACTAAAAACATACTATGATTTTATAGTCCTGCTGACAATTATTGGCATATTACATGTTTCAGAAGAGCTGTAAATAAGAACCAATACAAACTTGTAATTTTTTACACAGTATAATATTATCAGATTTTGCATCCATTGTTGCATCTTTTTTAACTGCCTACTGGTAAATGTTTTGTACTTTTTTAAAATGTTCCATGAAGAGTGTTACGAAGAATCATTAAAATAAATAAAAGATTTTATTTTATCAAAAAATTACTTGAAATGTGTAGAAAAAATATCTAAATACAAAGATTTCGTATCCCTTAGGTAGAATCTTAAATTACTAAATTTTTTAGAATACCCTTGTTCTAAGAAAAATTTACTGTTAAAAGTGTTGTATGGTTCTGTTTTAATTGCATTTTTTTATAATAAAACTTGCCGGAGCTTTCATTTAAAACAAAATTCTAAGTTTGATGTATGCTCATGTACTTTTTTCAAATGTATGTTGTTACTGACATGGCCATGTTGATAAAAGTTTTCTAAAATACTTTTTATATAAAATTTATCAAATTGCTTATTTACAGTTTTGTTATTTCTCGTATCTCTTCTATTGTAATCGATTCTCATTTTTATTCTAGTTTTGTTTTTCGTGCATATGTGTAGGGATAATTTTTGTATTTATAGTTTTTAATATTTGTTTACTCAACTTTAATTAATTATTAAAACAAGTATAGATTAAAAAGTAAACATTGACAACTAAACATATAAATAATAAGTACAAAACATAACTCTAAACCGTGTAGAATACCACAGTTACATTTTTATGCACGTTTTGTCGATTAAAATATACCTTTTGTATAAATAGATGTATTTTAATTTCTACCTGCACATACTCTTCATGGTTAAATTTTCTGATTACAAATTAAAAAACTTATACATAATGTTATTTGTATAAAAATAAATTTTACACAAATGTTACTACGTTAAAATAAAAAATATAACAGAATTTCACAGAATTAAAAAAGTAAAAACCATTTATTTTAATACATTTATAATATACCGATCTATTTTTTTAAAAGTTGACATTAAAAATTAAAAAACCGATTTTTTATAAATATGAACGAATGATGACTAACTTACGCCATCTCGTTTATAAGTGAGATTTAAATTTGATAAATGCTAATATGCTTTTTCTTATTTCAATTGTAAGTTATGTCTTTTAAAGCATGTCTGTTTTTAAAATTAAAAATTACACTCTTTTTATTAAAATTTCAATAGCACACATTTTACAATTTGAATAATTAGATAAAACATAAGTAAACTCTGAATAAAATTTTGCTATGCATTAAATAAAAAAATGAAAAAAATTTAACAAAATTTTATTAAAAAAAGTGCTAAAAAATAAATAATATTTATATTTAAACCTTTAATTATATCGACGACTTTATATTATAGCTTGATAAATTACTTTTAAGAAGTGAAAATTTATAAATGAGATGAGTCCAAAACAAATATAGGCTTGCAATAGATAAAGATATAAGAATATTACTAAGTATAAAACAATAACAAGAAACCATTAATTTTTTGTCTAAATAAAGTAAAAGAAAAAAGGATTAAAAATAATTATTGTAGATTGTGAATATCAATGTGATCTTAATAAAATAATATTTATTTCGATAGTAAAGATAGAATAGATTTTAGCTAACTTGTAACAGTGTTATATAAAATATGCGAAAAAATAGTATGGATATGTAGTATTGAAAAAAGTAAAAATAAACACATCTTAGAGAATTAGTTAATTATTTTGTTAAACGATATAAATTTAATGCGTATTGTAATGTTTATGAATATAATATTATAATTTTTTTAGATTAATTTTTAGCTAATGGATAAGTTTTATTATTTTCTCGTTGTTAAAGAATTTACATTTTCAATCTGTTGAAGGAATAAATATCTCCTTCCATAAAAAAAATTATATTGATAATGTATTATTTTGTTAAGTTTGTTTAGTTAAAAAGTTTTTTTCCACTTACCCCCAAAATATAAGCTGTGTCAATTTATCTATAACAAGGAAAATTGATACTGATTCTAATTTATAAAAAATAATTATTTTTTATCAAAACTTTTTTAGATTACTTCACTATGAGATAAAAATAGGCTTTTTTTTTTAATTATAATTTTTTTGATGAATAAAAAGATAATGTAGCGGATTGCAAAGAATTAAAATGTGGAGGATCATATAAAACTATAAGCATTTTAAAAAATAATAATGAAGTTACTAAAAGAATTGAATAAAATCACTGCATCTGCAATCAGTAAAAGGCGCAAGAGCGCAGTCGTAATTTGGTCACATTATTAATTATACTTTCTTATTATACGAAGATACAAATTTTAATATATTTTTATATCAAAAAAATTTTTAATGAAGAGGTAAGAAAAATGTGGGAAACAGAAAGAAAACAAAAAAGCTAAAAATTACATAAAATTTAGTAAACAAAACCAATTTTGAAAATAAAAAGGTCGATTAAGGTATTTGTTTATTAAAAATTTACCTTGCATTGGGGCACGTTTCATCTTGTTATTTTAGCAATTTATATAAATCTAGGTCGAAGAAATACTGAACAAAATAATAAAAAAATAATTTAATAACAAACGCTAATTATTGTGAAATTAACAAGTATTAAATTTACAGTTTTAAAAAGGCTAAAAAAAATTATTTAAACTTTCAACGTACCTTTCAAAATTGTCAAAATCATAAATTTCTAATTTTTGAAACATTTCATTTGCATTTTCTTTGTAAAAATCAACGCTTCTTTTTCCTATGTCGTACCAAACGTTTACATTAGTTAGTAATGCTATACTTTCAAATAATTGTGTCAATGTTTCTTCCCCCGACGAAATTATAAATCGTGAATTTTCAAGTAAGATGCTATAAAACTCAAATAACGTTATATTATTATGGCCTAAACATAAATTCGAAAATTTTTGTAGATCGTTAAAAAATTCAATATTAAAAATATCATCCTTTTCATAATTACTAAAATACTCCTCAGCTTCTTTATAAATAAGAGTGTATAACAAATTATTAACTTCTTCACTCTCCGCCGTCATCATAAAATAAATCTTAGAAAGTTTCTCTTTAGTAAAAAAATATTGCAGAAAAATAATTATTCGGAATCGTTTATCATCATTTATACTTCGTGTAAGAAAATTAATTTCATTCACGTTTAAAATATTATAATGGCCCAATATTTGCATTAATATAAGATATGAAGCGGAACCCGGACTTTCACAAATTTTATATAGTAAATGATTTAGTAGATTTTCATTTTTAAATTTATGAAAAATAATTTTGTATTTAAAAAAGTCAAGATCTTTTGCCTTCATATATAATTTCCAAATCTCAATGCAATCTTGGTATGTTTCTTCAGAAATGCACTGACAATTTCCCTTAATCATAATGAGATGATTATTACAAGAATAATAAAATTGTGTACTTAAAGTTTTGAAAAATATAGCCTTTTTTATAATTAAAACATTAAAAAAAATCTTTTCAAAATTATATGACAAAAATTGTTTAGGTAATTTTTTCTCATCGTTATTTACATCATTTAATAATTTAGAATGTAACAGAAAATCAGAAAATGTAAAAATTTTACACATTAAAGTGGATATCTCTGTACTGTTATTATCTTTACAGACATTACTACTTAACTTAATTAATTCGCTTGTATATTTTTTTTCTAAAGCATTGAATTCTTTAACGTCAATTTTAAACAAAAACATTAAATTTCTTAATTTTACAGGAAAAAAAAATTTTCATCTTGTTTTCTTCTTCAAAGCATTGGATAGTGTTTTTAAATAAAGTTTCACTAAATAAAAAGCAAAATTTAAAATCTATCATTTGGTTCGAGACAAACATAAACAAAAATCTCTTATTTTTTTTTTTTGTTACTATCATAAAGCCTAGCAATAAAATTCAATTCAATCTTATCATAAAAAAAATTTTAAAGATTTAACTTAATCTCATTCCTAGATGTATAGAGATTTAACTTATAAAAAACTATAAATTCCTGTGATTTATTATAATTGCTTGAAAGATAATAATCATAAATCTTTTGAATTGCTTCATTTGCTGTATTATACTTAATCATATCAGCTCTGACAAGACTATACTCGGATCTAGATGTATCTTTTTTACATTCAAAAAAAACGATTTCCTTATCATAAATACAGAGTTCAAAAACCTAATATTTGTTTTTTAAATCAATTAAAAGTAGTCTTCAGCCACAATTTGCTGCTCAACGAATTTTAATAAATTCTCATAAATGTTTTTACTGGATTTTAAATAAGTAAGAAATAATACTAACAATTCAAGTTTCATTAAATTATGTAGGGTTCAGAAAAAAAATTATAAGTAATATAAATTTTTACAAAAAATAAGGCTCTAGTTAATCAATTTAAACCTTTAATCACATTTAAATTTTTTTTCCTAAGCGAGTAAATATATATTTTTTTAAAATAAAAAAATGATTACGGAATTTATGCATTGCATATAAAGATTTTAAAAACAATTTACATTAATAAAAGTAAGTAGCCTTCACAAATATTTAGATGTTTAGTCTTAAAATATTTTTAATTAATAAATAATTTTTTATTTTTGAAAAATTTAAACATTTTCTAAAATTTTTTTTTTAATTACATTAAAGATTATTGTTGGATCTTTTACATCTCAAAAAAAAAACATTTTTTGAAAATTTAAAATTTGTAAAAAACTTAATTTTCTGAAATTTGGTAGATTACCAGAAAGTTATTCCTTAACCAAAAAGTAATGAAAAAAAAAAGAATTAAAGAAACCAGTCTTAAAAATAAAACATATTATAGTAATATAAATAATTCATTTTATAGTCATAAAAATGACCATCATGAGAATTAGTTAAAAGTATACTAAACTAAAATTAGAAGGGGGAATTGATTTATTAAAAAACGTCACTTAAAATTTTTCTTCAGAAAATAATAATCTACAAATATTTTTTGATTTATAAACTGGTTGAACAAACAAATTGTTTATTTTTGAGGTATTAAAAAAATTTACGTGATGGTGATATGCTAAAAATTTTTGAAATTTTTAAGAATCCTCAATTTTTTTGAATGCCCAAAAAATAACCGTATATTTACAACATAAAAATAAACTACTAATGTAAAAGCTTGTTATGAATAGCTTGATAACAAAATGGATTTACTAAAATGTATAGAACGTTGACATACAAACAATGTATGCTGCCAAATTGTGAAATGATATGTATATGTAACATTAATAGTTTATTGTGGATTTTTAGAATTTTTAAATTTCAAAAATGATAAAATACATTGTTGATCAATTTTACTGTTACAAGTAAGTTGTTAAAAGTTCAGAAATTGAAAAGCTTATCAATTTAAATAATATAAAAAAATTAATTTTTCTTAAACCCTAAAATTTAGTAATTATTTACATTAATATCACTTATTTTATTGATTTTTCATTTTTAGAATGTATTTTTTGTAATAATTTTATTATGATTAAGTTTATGATTATCCTAATTATGGTTCTATAATTAAGTTTACAAAGTTTTTTAATTATCGTCATAAAGTTAGACAAGAATTATTAGATTATATTTATTTTACATTTTAAAAATTATCAACACTATTTTTTATTCAAGAATGACAAAAATTTAAAAACTTTTATCTACTGTAAAAAATGACAGTAAATTAATTACTTTTATGATAAAAAATTGTAAATTTTAAGGTTTTACTCAAGCAATAAATTTTATAAAATTTAGAAAAAACTTTTTACAAAACCAATAACTAAATAAGCCATATATTCACAAATATATGCCCTAACCAAATCGGTAATTCCGCTTACTTTTTGCTAGCATATATTAAGTTCAGATACAACATCTAAAAAATATAATCCAAGAAAGATATATATAAATACTTTAAAAATAGTTTTTATATTAATCTTGAATGAATCAAAGAAACTACCTGTTCTTATGAACATTTGTGCATACATGACCTTTTACAAACTCAATTATAGCAACCAGGCGCAGTTTTGCGCTTTACGTATGAAATTTGGTACCATCTTAGACACTCGCTACACGCCATAGTATTAACAAAAAGCCCCAATTTGCATAATATTGAGTTAGCTGTACTAGCATCTGTAAACATATTGTCAATGTAAGTTTCATCGCTTGTAATAGCTAAGATATGCTTAATTCTATATCTCTTAGTTTCAACAATGTCAGTTTTAGATTCTCTAGATACTGGGGGATAAAAGTTTTTTTTAAATAAGCGTAAAATTACATCAATAAAAATTTTAATTTAAAAGGTAGAAATAATATTATTTGATAACCCCTAACAGGTCAAAACAAAAAAAATTTATAAATATAATATTCTTGTCAGCTGTTTAACTTAAACATGTAACTTCAAAACAATCATAATTTTACATGTTGGCCATGAGATAGGGTCTTATCGAGCTATTACGATGTACATAGAAAAAAACATAATTTATCAATCCAAATCAAATCCTTAACAAAATTGTAGTTCTAAAAAAGTGCTATAAAGTATCTTCGTTGAATATAGGTGACAAAATGACATTTATAGAGTTTTCAATTAAAGAGTCTAAACATTTTAATGGTATTATGCAAAGATATTTTAATTAAGTATACTGCTATCCAATTATGCAAACAGAACATGGCTGTATTATTAAATTTTTTAATTAAAGAATTTCTATATCTATTTTAATTGGTTAAATGACTTTAAAAACGTTTTCCTTTTTTTAATCCTTTTTTTACTTATTATTTTTTTTTAAATTTTTCTAAAAGGTTTTTATATATATCAAAGTTTTACTTTAAACAAATATCTTTTAAATTGTCTTGATTTGTGATATTTACATCTTAATTATTATTTTAATATTTCAAATTATACATTAAAACCGACTTTTTTTGCAATTAAAATTTAATTTAATTTAAAAGTTTTGTATTTGATAAATTAAAAAACCACGTTTTAAATTTATCACCTTACCGAATTACAGATTTTTTACTTCATACTAACAATTTATTAATTTATATAAATATAATTTTTTATAACATCCCTATGAATAAAATTTACTTCATTTTACTAATTTCTTTTATGTGTTCTCTACAAATAATTGACGTGCAAGCAAATGTATATGAAATGTATGAAATCGATTTAAGAACTTGTATTACAACCAAGTATGATTTTTATCTTAAGAATTTTGCAAGAATGGTTCATTGGGTTCCACCTATTATACCGTTTAATTTTCCAATAAAAATTTTTCAAAGATATGTTTGTATTTATTATAATCACTTTACTAAAGATTTATTAAGAACATGTTTTTTTTTCAGAATGTTTTAGATACTGCCAATCCTTTTAAAATTAACCAATTTTATTTTCAAATTTACTTAAGCAAAGATAATATCTTAAAATTTTATATTCCTACAATGTCGTTAGATAACATGTTTAATTCTCCATTTCATATTGTATTTAGACAGCATTGTGAAGATCAAAACAAAATAATAAGCTCACAAAAACAAAAAATATTTTTATCTTATTTGTTAAATAACAGAGACAAAATAATTTCGAATTCTAAGCGACTCCTTAATGATCTTACAGAAAATCCTAAATCAAGATTTCTTCGCTCTTTGAAAGAAAAAGACTACATTTTAACATTTTTTGATAGAAATTATGATAAGACTATAAAATTTTTCAAATGTTTAATTTTACTATTACAAGAAAGCGATAAACTTTCGAAAGCAAAACTATTTAACTTTTTTATAAATTTTATTAAGGAAAACTTAAATGAGATTTGGCAGTATAGGCTTGGACAATCTGGCATGGACTTAAATACTTTTAAAGATCTTCATCTATTAAATTGCTTTTTTATGGATATACAAAACTTATTACGGTTAGTTTCTTTCCCGTAATGTAGATTTAAATTTGATGATTACGATCAACGCACTGGGCTATATTTTGGTGAACCTGTCATAGCTGTTTTGCTTTAGCTTTGAGAAGATTTTGACCAAAAAAAATTTGATTGCATTGCTTATGATAAGGAACAAAATGAAATAATTTATAATTGTATGTTTGAATATAAAAGAAAAATCTCGTATTTTATATTTAGCCAAGCATATCTTAAACAGTTAAGAGTATCTGAAATAGATTGAATAGTTAAAACACCTGGTAAATTTTATAAATCACTAAACATAAATCTAACAGAAGTTTTAAAATAAATTACTTATTTGTGATTTACCACACATTTTCTATTCCGTTTTCTAAAAAAATTTTAAGTCATAAAATCTTTGAACCTACAAATAACCTTGAATAAATGTTTGAATTTAATTAATCAAGTAGAATGTATAAAAGCTTTAAAGAGGGTACAGGAAATTTAATAAAAGAATTAGCAAAATTTTTTAGATTATTGTTAAGATGTATCTTTATAAACTATCAAAAAAGACTTAAAGAAGGCGGGTAATGACATTAGCGACATTGGACAGCTAGAAAGAAATTAGAGGGAAACCTGATTGATCTGAGTATTTGAGTGTAAAACAAAAAAACAGTAAAAAAGAAAAAATTCTATTAAATAAATTGTATATTTTCTTTAGAAATTTTGATAAAGCACTTTTTCTGGCATCCAATAAATTTATCCAATTTTTTACACAGTACTAGTAACTCATTATCTTCTAGTAAATTAATATCACTAATTTGTATAAAATTCTGTCCTTTAATATGTTTTTCTACCGAATTATCGATAAGAATAACATCGTCTATTTCCCTTTTAAATACTTTACAGACTTTATTCAAATTTTTGATGCTTTTTTCTGCTTTAATTTTTTCTGTAATTATTCCTTCCTCACAATCTTCTTGACTTAAATATCCTAGTGCTTTTTTATACCCAATTTCACATAGAAAAGGAAGCATTTTTTCTAGATTATGCCTCATAGAAGTTGACCAGAAAATGTAATCAAGTTTATGATCTTCCAAAAAATCAACAAATAATTTAGTATTAGGCCTTTCAATTAAATAATAATTTGTACATCGATATAATTTACCAACTTGCTCTTTTGATAATTTACTTAGCGTTTTTTTATCAGATTTTTTTATTTTGGCTAAAATTGTATCATTTAGATCTAATACTATTAAATATTTACCCATATGGGGCTTTTTATTTATTTATTTATAGCTAAATAAAATTATGTATAATCTTTTAGTCAAATTATTTTGTACTAAATCTAAAAATTTAAATAAATTTAATATAACGTTAACTTTTAAGATTGTTTATAATTAAAGATGTATTTGTTTTTCTAATAAAAAACTTAAAATTGTGTTTTATTTAAGTTTACAACTGTCAACTAAAATTTTAAAAACTTTCATCTTTACAAGAAAAACGTAAATTGATACTAGCAATTTTAATAAATTTGTCTTAAATTTAACTCTTTTATATTTTAATTTAAACTAGATGGTTAAAGAATTGTAACTATTGCGTTGGCAACGGCTTTTTAGATGCAATTTTGTACACATGCTTTTTTTACTTATTTTTTATAATTTATCATTGCTTAATCAGTTTAAAATAATTGTTGTACGTAAAAGCTGTGCAATTAAAGAGTATTGTATTCTTACATTAAAAATCTTAGAAATGACAAGCCACAAAACTACACCAGATAAAAACAAAAAGTAAGTAAAGCTGCTTATATAAATTATTTATTTATTAATATTAATAAACATTCAAATGTAGTTTGTATTATTTTATATAAATTTCAAATCTCTTGATCTAAAAAGGCAATTATTTTAGCATCTACAAACTTTTTTACCTATTAAAAATGTCATAGGTTGATAAATAATAAAAATATTCTTGGCTATAATATAAATTTAAAACCATTCTCTTTGTTAATTATTACAAGTTGGTTTATTTTTTTATATATATAAACTTTCTTTTTTTTCATTTTTTTATCTTTATAAATTAATTATTTTATCTTTACATAATTAAAAATGCTAAAAATAATATTTTATTTCATAAAAGTAAGTGTAAAACATGTCAAAGATAATTTTTTTAATCATTCAATTAATAAATAATTGCGTACATAATTTTCATTTTACAGATCCCTTATACATAAATGACGAAATTTTATCCTTCATACAAAGACTACTTTGAAAAATTACAAGATATTCAAGATCTTGATTTTTACGATGAAGTTGACATTAAAGATTTTACGTTTGATAAAGATAATTCTCGTCTTACATATCCATGTCCTTGTGGAGATTTGTTTGAAATATTTATAGAAGATTTATTAAACCATGAAGATGTTGCAAGATGTCCTAGCTGCTCACTAATTATTAAGATTGTATATGAAGACATTGATTTAGAAGATTTTTTATAAAAAAAGTTATTTATTTATTATTGTTTTAAAGTTTTTTTTTATTTATAAAAATTTATAACCCATAATCAATGGTTAACGAAGTGCCAACATTGAAGAAAAAGATTATTTTTAAATATTTTAAACCACTTCTTACATTTACAAAAAAAGAAGATCCTTACGAACTGCGTGTTAAAAGTGCACCGCCTTTGAATATTATTGAGGAAAGAAAAGAACCTAAAAAATTTGTGCTTTGTAAGCCAGATGGGACACCAATAACACTTGATGATCTTAGTGATATTTCTGATAGTGAAGAAGAAGAAGACACTAAATTAGATATGAAAGATAGTATTAAAGAAGATGTTAAAGATAGTATTAAAGAAGATGTTAAAGATAGTAGTAAAGAAGATGTTAAAGATGATGTAATAGAAGATGTTAAAGGTAGCATAAACGAAGAAATAAATTCTACTTGTGGAACATGTTCTTTTATAAATCTAAAAAGAGAAAAAATTTTAAATGAGCTTTTGGAAATGTATAGGGTAGAAGAATCAGTTCCGTATTCCTTCGTCCCTACTAATGTTCCTCAAATTATGTATTCAGTTGGAGAAATACTTAATTGTATAAATAAAATACCTTTTACGCTGAAGTTATTAAAAAAAGATGTAAACAAAATACCAGTAAATTACAAAGAATTCAAAATCAATAAAGAAACAATTATTGAAAAGGCAACTTTTGAACTAAATAAATTGACAAACACTAATATAAAGAGAATAATAACAAATTTGAAGAATCTTAATATTGAAACAATACAACAAGCTAAATATCTTGGAAATTTGATTGTTTTTAAAGCTATTAATGAACCACAATACTGTAACTTATATGCAATGGTAGTTGGTGCATTAAAAAAAGATTTTAAATCTAAAGAAGAATTAGGGCTACATAAAAAACAGACTGCTTTTTTTGGAACTGTCTTAACTTCTGCTATGAAAGTTTTAGAAGAAAAAGTGGAATGGGCAGATACTAAAGTATTGGATAAAAATTTGTATAAAACTGCATTTGAATATGAACGAGCTTTTGAAGAACAGGAAACAGAACGATATCTACGTAAAAAGAAAACATTGGGAGCAGTTAATCTTTTATGTGACCTTTATAACTTAGATGTTATTACTCTTAAACATATTCAGAGTAGATTGAACGAATTTTTAAATATTGAAAATGAGGAAGTAGTAGAAGTTCTTGGAAAATTTATAGAAAAAATAGGTGAAAAGATGTATCTTAATGATAAATCAGATTATGCTAACATGATATGTTCATATCTTGATGCTTGTAAGAATAAATATTCTAATAGAGTGAAATTTTATATTATGGATGTTTTAGATAAAAAGAAAAACTGGAAGAAGCCAGTAAGTAAGACAGAGAACTTATTTTCATCACTTATAATGGAAGATGAACCTGCTTTGGATACACCATATCAATATCAAGAACAGGTTATTGCCAATGAAGAAGAAGAGGACAGTTTGGAGTTACTTAAAACCATTGATAATATTTATCAAGACTTAAAGGATGCCTATGACGAGGAAGATGAAATTATGATTGCTGATAATTTTAAGATAGCTTCTAATACTTTCGGTAAAATATCATTTTTTTCTACTTACTTTTCTGAATGTATTACTAATTCTCGTAAATCTAAGTTATTGGTTCCATTTGTCATTAATTTTTTCAATGAAACAAATCTAAATGAAAGTGAACTATTTGATATTATTAATAAACATAAGGAAAAGTTAAATGAACTAAAGATAGACTTCCCTTTGTCACAAAAAAATTATGTCACTTTATGTGATCAACTTTGTAGTGGACAGATTATCAAAGAAGATACATATGATAAATTAATTATTTAATAAAGAAAATTTATGCTTTAAATATTTTTTTAAACGAATTTGTTTGTTAAAAATAATTTGTTTAAATAACTATAAAGAATAAATAAACATTTTGTTTATTTATACTAAAAGGTTGTTGATAAAATTAATCATAATTCTAAGTTGTGCTATTTTTAATAATAGTGGAAGTCTTGAATTCAAATAAAATGTATACATTATCGGGTTTAATTTATAATTTAATCTACAGAAAAAATAACAACTTTATAAAAGTTCTTTTTAACGGTTACAATTAATATATATCTTATTTGTATAAAACACTGACAATTAAGTATCCACAAATAAATTTATTATCCCCTGTTTAATGACTTTTAAAAAATTTAAACTTCAGAAAAAGAAAAAAATAGAAAACGAAAAACAACTTCCAAAAATAAGGGATCTTAAAGTACCTCAAACACATATAAATAGATCTCTAATAGATACTGTTGTAATACTGTTACATACGAAACAGAATACTGGTCTTAGAAAAATTTTAGATTTACCACAATCTGTTATTGATAAAAATATTTATATATTGACTTCTAAAGTATTAGAAATTAGTTTAAAAGATAATTATAGCAATGATTTATGTTTTAAAATATTAAAAAAATTAGTTAGAAATGAACTTAATGTATATTTACATGATTTACTGTTCAAATATCTTGAAGTGAGCATTTTTAGTAACAGAAATTATAAGAAATTATTTTTCACTTGTAAAGAAAATTGTTGCGACATTATTGTTAACAATAAAGAAAGGTTACTAGAAATTGTTGAAGACAATGATATTAAACAGAAAATTAATGGACTTAAATCTAGAATTAATAAATGTACTATAAAAGATAAAATAATATTTGTAAATGGGGAATTTATTACTGCTTATGATAATATTACAAAATAAGTGATTTTTAAGAAAAACAACTTACAATAAAAAAATAGGCTTAAACGTTTTAACACTTTTTTGAAGATAGTGTGGTTTATCTATATCTTAATGCTCTAAAAATTGAGATTTTATATTTAAAATATACAATGGCATGTGTAATTTTACAGATTAATAGTTTTTCTTCTGTACACAATAAATTCTTTTTTAAATAGAGTTGTCAAGCATGATTATGTATATTTTACTGACAAGTTATTAGACACTAATAATTTATTGTATATATTTTTATGCTTTAAAATCTTTTAATTAAAGGAAATACAAAAAAACATTGTATTTTATTTAGTAAAACAATTTCTATAAGTTTGATTAAAATGTAGTCCAAAAAAAGCATATGTTTTTAATTAAATTGTGATTTATTCATTTTACAACTAAATTTTATTGAAAGGCTGTTTTGCTTTAATTTTTCTACTTAAACATAATTGTAAAAATTTTACTAAATTTTTCATTTAATAAATTTAATGTATTATTTAAATACTAAAAATATTTTTTGTAAATTTTTGTTCAAAAAAGTCAGATTTAAAATATTGTGATTTTGTGTTGTAAATTTTAAAAAATTAAAATATAAGAATTATATTGCTAAGTTATATTAAAAAAAAATTGTCTTAATTGTTGTGAAAATAATCAAATAATTAATTTATTTTTATTTTTAATAAATATAAAGGTTTTTTTCATTTTTAACCCTAATGGTACCATTATTATTTTTTAATGTGGTTTTTCATATTGTAAGATGTCAACTGGGATTTTCAGTTCCTTGGAAGCTTAGCACTATTGATAATGATGCTAAATGCTCAGATTTTGTCAAAGAATATCTTAATACAAAAATTGAAAAGTTTAACTGCACTTGTAATTCTTCTTGTTTCAACGATAAGCAACTTAACATATTAGTGGTTTTTTTTAGAAATTCAGCTTACATTTATCGACAAATATCAAATTTTGAAGCGAAGCTTTTGTCTAAGATTGGCCCAACTTGGAGAAAAAAAAAGTTTAAAAAGAATAAAGTTATAAGGAAACTTAATCGTTTATTAAAAAATGGTTCGTATTTAAATGTGTGTTTTACAGATACTGAAGATAATTTATTAAAAGATAAAATAACAAAGAAATTTACAAATGTGGTAACTAAAATAACATTTTTTGATAAACATCATGTAAATATTTCATCACCCAATTCTGCAAAAATTATTCTTCGAAATTCTATTACCTGCGAATGCCTACTATCCAAAATATTTGATGAGTTAGAATGTGAAGTTTTACAAAAAATTTATTGTAAACAGACTTGTGAAAAAGGGTCCTCATTCGAAGAATTTTTCATCAAATTACCGGAATCTTTTTCACAAGCCAGTTTGCAGTGTCAATTGTTGTCATTATTTACAAAATATAATTCTTATGATTTGTTTTGGAACTTATTGCATTATTTAACCAACGATGATCAGTTTAGTCGTTATTTTATTTTCTATTTTGAAACGTCATCTGAAAATTTAAGTTCAGATGAACAAATGAATTGGCGTACATTATTGTACCATATTCAACAGTATAAATATTGGGACACTGAGCAAGTTTTTGGTAAAAATGAGATTGATTTTTTTATGTACATTTATGAGAATATATTTTTTAAGATGAATTTTTTTACTAAATTTGAAATAATTTCTCAAATTTTAGAGAATAATCTTAAAAATAAATTTTTTAGTTTTATTAGAGAGATAAAAGATAGTATTTTAAGTATACTTATTGAACATAAAAATGTAATTTATTTTATGATTTCGCCTGAAAGTACGTATTTTTTACTTATGAACAACAAAGAGAAGTTTAATAATGAGATTAGTTTATACAAGGAAACCGTTTCTAAACTTTGCAATAAAGTTCATGCTGCACTAGATTGCATTTATGATGTTACCTTGAATTAAAATATTTTTTAAACAATTTGATTTTAGTATTTTTATAAATTAATTTACGCAATTAATTATAGTAAGTTAAAATGCAGATCCTTGTAAAAAATTAGATTTTTTTATCTATAACATATTAAATTAATATAAAAAAAATTAAATTAAATATTTACTTTTATAATTTTTATCAACAATAAAATTATAAGTTGACCGCCTACTGTTAATATCATAAAACTTTTTATTTAAATAAATGAGAAATAAAACTGTGACTTTCTTTGACTGTAACAACTTGTTTTTTTTTATATTCACAATCCTGACAGTTTTTTGAATGAAAATTTTCAAGTCTTCTGCACAGATCTCTGCTTATATGTGCATCATTTTTAAGTAGATCTTTACACACTTTGCTGAAAAATTCGCAATTTTTTGCTATATCACATAAACCTAACATATGCGAATATATTTTAGTATCAAATTCTGTTTTCTTTCTAAATAAATTGAAATTTTTTGTTTTAGACTTGTTCCACTTATTATAAATGTATATAGCGTTCGTGCAACAAATTTTATTCAGTTCTTGATTTTGGTATTCAAAGCAATAAATGTTATAGAAATTAAATAAACACTCTATAATTGATTCTTTTAGTGATAGCCTAATTAAATGTTTTTGTAATTCGTTTACAATAGCAATTATTTGGGAAATTGGCAAATTTTCAATGTTAATTAGAATGTTCTCTAATAAATTTTCTAAATTTAAAAGATCTAAATTTTTAAAAATTAAATCTATTACTTCAACTAGTCTTTTTTTCCATTTACAGTGTTTAACATTTTTCATAGCTATACAACACAATGTCACACCTCTTAAAAATCTTGATGTTTCGATCAAATTGTAATTATTATAAATTTTCCAACCATCTTCGTATTTACCGTATTTAATACAAATATCAATCATTGAATTATCTACGTAAGAAGAATTATTACATCGATTATTAGCCCATAATACAACACAATTATGCCAATTAACTTCATTTTTAATGATATTAAACCATTGGTCAATATCGCCGTCGGTTTCACAAAGTTTTTTTATTGATTCTAAATAATAATTACTTTTTAAGCCTGTTGAAGATAAAAATTTTCGTAAATTAGATAAAAATAAAGACTGAACACTACAGGCTTTATCAAATAATCTGTATTTTTCTAATGCCTCCTTTGTATTGTCTTCAGTCATTTCAAATAATATCGCAAGTTTAATCGTAAATCTATTTTTATTGAATTTTTTAAAAATTATATTAAATCTAATATACTCTTTTCTTAAAAATAATATTACTAATGTAAAATTAGTTAGATAATCATCTTTTTTGTCATCTCGTATTTTTTTGTAATAAAAATACAGCATACTTTCGATTTCTTGTTCACAATTAATGTTAAAAATTTTTTCTTGAAAAAAAGTTCTAAAAATTGCAACAAGCTGATCTTTAAGAGCTTTTTTATACCTTATTTCATTAGAATTATTATTATATTTTATTAAATATTCTATTTCTGTTATATCATCAGATAAAATAAAATTTAGTAAAAATGTTTCTATTGAAAAAATATCGTAGACACTTAATTTATGAAGAACTTTACAGTGTAACTTCATACAATATAGCATGCAAGAATAAATTCTTACTAAATCATGAACGTTATTCAGGGAAATCGACTCAGTACACAGATGACATTCAATATTCTTTAATTTAGGAAAATTTGAAAGTTGACGATGTAGTGAAGTGACGCACGATGTAATTTTTTTGTTTAGAGACTCTTCTTCTGTAGAAGCGCATGTAGAAAAGTTCATGAAATTTTTGTTGTCTTACATTTTATTTTGTTGTTTGAAATCAAAAAGCTGTTTCTGGTTCAAAACAAAACTATTAGCAAAATTTATACAAAAATAACTATTTCATAAATATTATTAACAACAAATGGCAAAGTAATAAATAATATGTTTTGATTTAAATTTTATGATTCATTCGTTTGCTTAATAGAATTAAAAAAATGCATCAATTTTAAATTAATAAATTTGCGCAATTTTTTAATAAATTTTAGTTAAATTTGTAATTCAAAGGGAATGTTAAAAATTTTTTTCTTTTATATCAAGAAAAAACTAAAATATTTAATCAATTAAAAAAGAGTTTGTTTTTTTGTAAACAAATAAACACAAAAAAGCATAATAGGCAATTACTTAAGTCATTCTATAAAAAATTTATAGTATAAAACAACGAATGCAAATAAATTCTAATTAAGACACTAAGCTTGTATTGTGTTATTGTTTAAACAACAAAATTAATTTATTGTATATTGTATTTATTGAAATTTGCTATTATATTGTGGTAATTCTTTTCTAAAATAAATTTTTGTGAATGAAATGCCAAATTTCTTTACAAAAATTTATGCAATTGAGTTTTCATAATTTGTAATATACAACCTCAGACTATCTTATTTATTATTTATAATAATTGATATACTAATTTTTTGTAATCTATTTCTAGAACTTTTTCACAATTAAGTATTAAAAGTTTATTTTTTTCTAATTTGCCATACATTTCGTACCTTGTATTAACATTAAGCTTTTCATTCCAATTAATTAAACATCTACATGAAGTATCGTAACCAATATATCCATCTTTTGTTTTACCTGTCACAGTAATAAAAAATAACTTTAAACAATGCATTGGTGAATATTTAAGAAAATTAAATTGTATAATTGTTTTTGATTTTATATATTTTGCAGATTTTAAAATAGAAGAAGATTCAAAATTAAGTGATATGTCTTTAGTTAAATCTTGACTATAGTTACACTTTAAATTGTTAACTAAAAATATATCATATTTCTTCATTTAAAGGGATCAAATTTCAACAAATTATAAATAAATTTAATAGTAATATTAAAATATACATAAAAATTTATTATTGTAATTTGTAGTAAAATTTATGAAACCGTTTCTTAACAGATTTTTTAAGATTTATTTTAGATAATTTTTAGAATTTTACCCTTTAAAATGCTTGATGACTGTTATTTCTATTTATACTCAGAATGTAAGTTAAAAGAGAGATGTAGATTTAGACATAATCCACTCTCTAAAGATAATTTAATACTTTGTAAAAACTGGTCAAAAAACAAAAAATGTCGTTTAGATTGTCCATTAAGACATTCTTTATATCACGTTGTAAAGCAACGATCTGATACAATGTGTTATTGGGAAGACAAAGGAGGTTGTACTAAGTACAGATGCGAGTATAAGCATGTAGATCCATCCAAGGATGAATGGAAAGAACCAAAAGTCAAATTGTTAACGGAAATTATTGAAAGCAAAAATATACACAATAATACTTCAACTATTAGTATAAGTGATATTTCAGAGCCCGTTAATGATGATGTAACAATTTCTGATGCAGAATTTGCAGTTAATAAATGTTTGGAGGATAAAACGGAATATAATGAACTTGATAAAAATTTAAAGGTTGGCGAGGATACAAAATTTGCAATTAAAACATTTGAATTAGAAAATGTTAATGTATTAGTTAATGACAAAGGCACATCCTTACCGATCTCGACTGTTGACTCTGATGGAAATCAGCAATCAGAAACAAAGGTAGAAGCATTGACATTTGAACAAACGTTGGATAGTAACAATAATGTAGAACAGACTTCAGCCAATTCTTCTGAATCAGTTCTTAAGCCAAAAAGCTCATTTGGAAATGATATAATGGGTGAGGTTAAAAGAGCTGCATTAGAAGATCAAACCCTAGAAACAGAAGCATTATTGTTACATGAACAATCTGTTCAGTCAACAACTGGATATACGTGTTCTGAGAAAGACAAAGAAGCGGAAGCCGACAATTTTAAAAATGACAATGCTGTTTCTTCTAAAAATCTTACTAAAGATAACCTTGATGTTGCTGTCCAATCCAAATGTGTTTCTAACAATGAAAAACATTCTGGTAGTGTAGAGAAGCCTATTGAGATTTTATCAAATATTTCAGAATTAGAAGAAAAAGCACCGCTTAAGCGCAAGATCGTTGATCAATCGCTATATAAAAAATCCAAATCTGACAGTAATATTGATATTGAAAGTCTGGATAAAGAAATAGCTGAGATTGAAGAATTGCTAAAGGAAAATTAAGTTTGATGATATGTCTGTACTGTCATTAAATTGTTAATGCTTTTTTAATACATAAAATTTTAATATTTTTTTATTTAACCGCCAATTATTTTAAGTATAAAATAATTTTACTTTTTTTACCCCATGAACTGTAACGAACATGAAAGTACAAAGTTGAATTATTTAAATTCATTAGAAAAAAGTAGAGACGTTAAAACCGATATCTCTGATAAACCGAAATATTTTATTACTTTTCCATATCCATATATGAATGGAAAACTACATCTTGGTCATTTATATTCGATATCAAAAGCAGATTTTATGTCATATTATAAGGAGTTACAAGGATTTAATGTTTTATTTCCTTTGGCTTTTCATTGCACAGGTATGCCTATTGCTGCGTTAGCAAAAAAATTGGGAGAAGAACTTGAAGGTAAAAAAACTGATATTTCTACAAAGGAAATCATACAAAATTTAGGATTTAATGATGTAATGCCTTTTACTGATCCTGTTCACTGGATAAAAACATTTCCTAAGCTGTGCATTAGTTCATTGAAAACTTTTGGTGCTAATATTGACTGGAGAAGATCTTTCGTTACGACAGATATTAATAAATATTACGATTCATTTGTAAGATGGCAGTTTTTTAACTTAAAAGAGTTAGGGTACTTATCATTTGGCAAGAGGCATTCAATTTATTGTCCATTAGACAAACAGATGTGTTTAGATCATGATCGAAGAAAGGGAGAAAATATAAAACCAGTGCGTCAAATTATGTTTAAATTTCATTTGCATGACAAAATATTACTAGTTAGACAAAATTCTATTGGAAAACCATATAAGCTTGTATGTGGTAAAAGTTTGGAAGTTGTTTCTTTTAAATACAATAATACTAGTTTTCTTGCCGAGAAAATAATTTTCGATAATTTAAAATATCAGATAAATAATGTTAAATACAAGGAAAGTTTAGTTTTGTCAATGGATTTAAAAGATGGATTGACGTATGACGGTACTAATATTGAAGTAGAAGTAATAGAAAAGAATATTTTAGTTGTTAAAACTGATACTAAGTCAGATGTGGAATTATATGAAAAAGAAATAAAAGCGTTAAACGAAATTGAAGAAACTTTATTTACACTATCTACAAGCTCTGAAGGTATTGTTGAATCTGTTGCAAAATTGTCAGTTGAAAATACAAAAGACTTACTTGTACAAACAAAACACTTTATTAGTGTATACATTCCTGAAAAAGAGGTAATTAGTAGGTCTGGTGGTATTTGCGTCGTGTCTCTTCTTGATCAATGGTACATTGATTACAGCAATGAAAAATGGAAAAGCAAGGTTAAAAAATGTCTTGATAATCTAGAATGTGGACCTGACACCCGATCAATGCTATATGCTGGAATAGATTGGGTGAATAAATGGGGGTTTTCTCGGAGTTTTGGTCTTGGAACTAAAATACCTTGGGATACACAATATTTAATTGATAGTTTAAGTGATAGTACAATTTACATGGCATTTTATACTGTAAAACATTTATTATTTGAAGATTTGGAAGGAAAACTTGAAATATTTCCAAGCAATAAGCTTTCTAATGATGTGTGGGATTACATTTTTGCTGGGAAGGATCTTGTTCCCGAACTTTATGGCTATTTAGATCTTTTGGAAAAGTGTCGAAACAATTTTCAATATTTTTATCCTGTGGATTTAAGAGTCAGCGGTAAAGATCTTATAAAAAATCATTTACTGTTTTTTATGTTTAACCATGTAGCGCTATTTGATGAAAAATATTGGCCAAAGCGTATTTTTACTAATGGACACTTGATGTTAAACAAAGAAAAAATGTCTAAAAGTACAGGAAATTTTTTGTCTGTAGATGATGCTTTATTGAAATACGGAAAATCAGCCACTAGAATGTGCTTGGCGGTCTGTGGTGATACTAATGATGATGCCAATTTTGTCGAGGATAATGCTAATTTATTTATACTTAAAATTTATACCTTTGTTAAAGAGATACAAAAGCTTAATGAATTAGTTAGAAAAAAATCTGAAAATGAAACCATTGCGTCGTACAGCAATGCTGATGTTTTACTTTTAGAAACAGTATCTGTAAATGTTACTGAAGCTTTAAATGCTTATAATAGTATGAAATATTCTGATGTTGTTAAATTTTCATTTTTTGAGATGGTAAATTTAATTAATTTGTACAATAATATTAATGGTACGAATATTTTGTTAAAAAATCTTGTTTACAAATCGGCGACACAATTATTGTATCCTATTATGCCTGATCTATGCAGAACTTTGATTGAAAAATATTTTGACTCGGAATTTAATTTACCTGAACCTAAATTAAAAACCAATAAAATGATTTCTGCTTTCGAATATATTAGCGAGCTGATTAAAAAGATTGCGGCAAGTAAACAAGCTAAAAACAACTCTTGTGTAAAGATCGCTGTTGGTAAAAACTATCCTGAATGGAAAAAAGAGATTTTTGAACTTATTGATAAAATAGATTGTCCTAGAAATAATGAAATTAAGAAGAATAAAGTTTTTATCGCATCTTTGTTAGATAGTGTCAAACCTATTTTACAAAAAAGTAAGATTAATATAACTAAAGGAAATAATTTTGTAATGGATTATCTTGTAAATCCTGACAAGTTTGTTATGAAATTTAATGAATATGAAATAATTAATGAATTTAAGTTTTACATTGAAAATATGTCTAATAAAAAGGCAATATTAGAGGAACATTGCGATGCAGAGCCTTTGAATCCAATAATTACTTTTTCTAAATAAATTTTTATTTATTTTTGATAGCGTATGTTTTTGAATTGAAGCATTGAAAAATCACAAATTTTTTAAAAATCTATTTATTAATTAAAAATACATGCTGTCCAATGATTCTTTCGATGTAATATTGTTAATTTCCACATTATTTTCAGCCTGATACAATTCTTTCAATATTTCTAAATCTTCCACAAGCTCTATTTCTTTTGACGATTTAAATGAAAAAAACGATCTTTCTTCGTTTGTATCACAATGAATTACAGAATCCTGACTTGTTTTTATTATCATAAATGGTAAATACAACTTATCTTTGTCAGAATTATCGATATTGCTATTTTTGTGTACCAGGTATTCGAACACGTTTTTCATGTCCTGTAATTTACAAATCTCTTCTTTTTTCTTATTAATTGATTCTTTACTGTTAGTCATAAAGTATTTCTTATTCTTTTTATCAATAATTTGCACAGCTTTCATCACGTTTAACACGTCATAAATTCGCCTGTATAAAGTTTTTTTGCTAGTCATTTGTATATTTTCACAAATGTATGCGTAAGTGACACCATCGTTATTTTTTATTATATTGTAAACAGAACTTGTTATGTATTTCATTCCGTCTTTTTTATTGTCGGAGTTTATGTCGCTGTACAAAGATTTCATAACAAATTGGGATATTTTTGAAATGACAATTATTAGATGAAAAGATAATAAAATCAAACTTGTGATAGATTACAATATTAAATTGTTAATGAAATCATTTTTTTTAGTTTATTATAAGTGGTATTTTTGGCGGGAAAAATGAATAAATTTTTAAGGCTAACAAGGGCTACTTGAAGAAAAGGAATCTTATTCACACAGTTGCGTGTCATTAATTGTTATAAAAATTTGATGGTGAAATTCAATTTTATTTGTATTACTTTTTTAAACCAAAATTCTTTAGCAAATACAAAATTTTTTAGTGACTACAACTGGCTTTAGTAGGAATATATAAGTTTTAAATTATATTTTTGTCACCGATAAAGTCTGAACTATCAAAAACATATGAGACAGTAAGCAAAGCCTTTCGAAATTTTTAAAACATCCATTAGCAAAAACTTTTACAGGGATATGTGTTTATATTTGTGGAAACGGTCACAGCGAATAATCTATAAAAAATGCAAGGAAAGGCGTTGCATTTAAATTTTCATAGATACTACTTACAAAAGCTATACATTACATAAGTTTTATGTGAAACTAAACCAATTCAACATTTTTATTCTATATAAATAAAATCAAAAAAAAATAAATTATCTTATTAAACTTTCTTCTAGTATAGAAGTTATTAATTAGTTTACTTTTGTATGATCAATAACTACCATAGTAATTTTAGAAGTAATTAAAACTTATTTATTATTAATTTAAAGGTTAATGAAAAAAATCACAAAATACCTAAAGTTAATTAATTTATTTAGCGGGTTCTGCATCCTTGTCTTTATTTTCAGGGGAAGATTTTGCACCTTCTCCATCATTTGATACATCAACAGTTGCGTTACTTAAAATATTAGTTATAATTCCATTTCCTGAACACTCTTGTTTTATACAATCAGATAAGAGACCTTCACGAGTTGGCTGACTAATAGCATCGTTAATTCCAGGACAAATACAATAAGGCTTTTTCTTAGATATAGGTGTTTTCGAAGCAATAGCTTCACCATACTCATTAAATACAACAACAAAGGGATAGTCAGTAACAACCTTGAATGGTCTACCCTTGTTATGCCTCAATGTATAATGAGATTGCGTTCTTAAGCCTATAAAGACGATTTTTTTACCATCGAAAATAACCGTCTTATTTGAATTACTAGCTACTATGTATCTAGGTTTTGTTTGCGATCTCTTTTTAATTTTATTCTTTAAGCATTCCTGTGAAGCATTACTAACGGTTCTTATACATTCTTGCTTTTTAGGTGGCAACTTGGCTACCATTTTCATTGCTTGTACTGCCGCATTTATAGCAGCATGTTGTTGTTGCTGTCCCTTTTCATAAGCTCTTCTTTGACACTCCTCTTTATTAATATTGTTATTTATAATTTTTTTTCCATTTATAAATTCGGTTGTACATGGATCATTAGGAAAAAGAATAGCTGGCTTATCTGAATTGTTAGGTGCCTGGCCGGGTCCATTGGGAATGACATAATTATTGCCGGGAACAGATCCTACAAAAGCTTTGATCCGTAATAAATAAAATGTCATAAAAAGACATAAAGTGGAAAGATTTCTCATGTTTGTCATCTTAATATGAATTGTTTAATTTTTTTAAATATATATTTTTTTATTGAAACTTTGTTTTAAAAAAAAACAAATTAAATGTAAAACATGCAAATTTTTGATACATGTTCAAATGTTAAACCGGAACACTACTTTATCACACATTTTAAATTTTTTAAATAGTTAATAATATTATAAAAAAATTAATTATATTTCACAAATGTTCCATAGTGTTTCATAATTTATTGATATTTGTAATTTTTTATATTATCAACAAAAATCCATCGACAGATAAATTTATAGGTGTTTGCACAGATAAAAATTATTGTTATTGTAATATAAATTTACATACATAAATGTATAGTAGTGGAAAATTAATAGACAATAAAAATTTTTAGTATATAACAGTCAAAAAATCAATAAAATATTTAAAATTCTTATTAAATAAAATAAAATACTTTTAAAATACATAATAGAAATCAAATGAACCTTATGTATGTTTTACAACTTGAATTTTAAGTAAACTTCTCATATTTTATATTTACAAAAAAAATAACCTAGTAAAAAGCTTATGTAAATCGGCCTAAACATAAAAATTTTAATTCTCTTAACTATGATCATCAGGCACTATTACTATTTAGAAACAAATTCCATTTTCTATAATTATTTTATATCGGTAAAATACAATGAAAAAAAATTAATTAATAGCTTTAAATACTAATGATAGAAATTATTGTATTTTTTTAAGTAAATAAAATAAAAGTATTACGTTTACAATAAATTTGTTAAAATAATTTTTTTTAAAAGTGTTCATTTTATATTAATTTTTTCAAACAGTCTATAATAATAATGTAAAGTTGTTGCTGCAAAAATTTTAACATTTATGTTAAATATGCTGTCATTAACAATAAAATAAACTATTTATCTTTTGTAGAAAATCTACTTTGAATGCAGAAACTATAGAATTTATTGTTTTGTGTATAAAATTTTTACATATTTATTGTTTAAGTAAATGACGAAAGCAATTTAAATTTAAAATTTTATTAATTTATTTATATGATGTTTTTTATTTAATAAAATTTTTGTATTGAATATTTGATGTTATGATTTTAAGTTCTTTTTATACTTACTTTATACATTTAACTTATTTAAAAGCAATGCTTTTATTTTTGTGCAAGTTTATATCGAAATCTAACTTGACCACTTCACTATAAATTAAAAAATACAATTTTTTCACAAAATCGCAAACTGTAGTTCTTCAAGTGCAATTTGCAAATTAGACATTCATTTTTTTATAAATCTTAATTATACAGTAATAAGTTGTAAATTTATTTTTTTAAATAGTTTTTTTTTGAGTCAATGTTTCAAACTATGTTAGAAACGAATGTTTATAAAACACGTGAAAATAACACAGTTAATGATTTACAACAAGATGTTTTAAAATACATTAACTAATAAGTTAGTTAAAAACAATATTTTTAATTTTTATAAATTAAAATATGAGGACATAAACGTAACAAATATATTTTACCATTAAATGTATATATCCAATTTGTGTGAATTAGAAAAATTTTATATTTAAATGAAAAAGGTGATAAAAAATGCTTTTAATTTATGTAGTTATATTAAAAAAAAACGTTGTAATTAGTAATTATTTATTGTACGCATACATTCTGGTGTGCTTGTAAATAAGCATCAGAGGCGGGTACTAATACACCTACATCGACCATTGGTTTTTGAGGAGTAACACATTCCATAGCATCATAGGGTGAAGCTTGTGGGGGAGAATTTATCATTTTATTAAGACACTCGATATTACTTTGAACATCACAATTACCTCCTTTATATCCCATTGATTGTCCTTGTTGAGCTGCAGTATCACATAAAGAATTAATCAAATTTGCTGGAGATGCACAATCAGTTGTTGGAGCTGAAGCAGGCGGTGAAATTACAGTTGGTACATAGATAGCATTGACAGGTCCTTGAGGTAATCCATTAGGTGTTCCTTGTGGTGTTCCCTGTTGTGAATAAGAGGGTGATCCTGTTGAGTTATTTGGAATACAATATGGTAAATTTGAGGCGCCTGTATTGCTAGAAGGTGGATTAACTTGCTGAGGTATACATGGTTGAGGGGAATATTGAGGAGGCATTGGTGGAGTTGTTGGAGCGGGCGTGACATGAACAATTGTTTGAGCCGGTGGATTGTTTCCTTGAGGATTATTTGGATTAGTGGATTCACCAGGTGTAGTTGGCACTTCAGGAACTTCTTCTTCAGGATTAATAGGTACACAATCGACAGTCTGTTTGACAGTACACTGAGTTTCTTGTCCTGGCGGTTTAGTTGGTTGTGCAGGCACATTTGTAGAAGGAACTTGAGGAGTTGTTGGTTGTATAATTGTGGTGGCTGGTGGTGGTGTGGATTGAATTATTTGAGTAACATTAGGTGGCTGAGGTGCACTGGGGGGATATGCGGGGGCAGGAACCGCTGATTGTACAGGAGCAGCAGGTACTACTGGGACTACTGGCACATATTGTGGTGGTTGCTGGGGTACCATAGTATACTGGCCTGGCATTGTTAGAATTCCTTGGCCGGGTACCATAGGATATTGACCTCCTGGTGCTGTTGGGATTCCTTGGCCGGGTATCAAGTTTTGTCCTCCTGGCATATTGCCTCCTGGATAATTTCCACCTGGCATATTGCTTCCTGGATAATTTCCACTTGTACAAATTTGTGGCATTGAACCGTTTTGAGATGGTAAACCGCCATGAGATGGGTATCCACCTTGTCCTCCGCCTACAATACAATCACTTCCAGGTCTTCCTTGTTGTCCTGCGGGAGGGTTATAAATTAATGGTTTATTGGGAGTCGCACAATTTTCTAGCTGACCTGGGTTCATAATCATAATTCCTGGTTTTCCTTGATTAGGGGCACATATGTTAGCCAAAATCTTTGGCACACACAATAGAGCTGCATTTAAAATCTTTAAATTTCTCATAATGTTATTGTAATTTTTTTTCTATAAATATTTTTTATATGAAACACTGTTTTATATTTTAATATTTTATTGAATTACATTCACCATGTTTCGATTAAATGTTTGAATAACTGCTACACTGATATTTCAGTACATGAAAATCGTAACATAAGTTGTTAACTAACTCTGTATATAGTATTTTAAATCTTTGTTTGATTTCTTTTAACATGTTTCAATAAAACTTAACTCATGTAGGTAAAATATCATTTTAATAGATTAAGTAATATAATAGACAAATGTTCAAATATATAGTGTTATAAATAAATTGTAAAAATTTAATTTTTTAGTTAAGTTTTTTTATTGGAAGCAATTTCAATAGAAGATTTTTGTTAAGTTGATGAAATGCTGTCAAAAATTCATTTGTATTAAATTAAATATCTCAGTATGAATTTTAAGTTCTGATGGTAGAACGAAACAATTTTTTAGATATTTATCATCTATTTTTTTTTAAAAAATAAAAGTTGTATTTAATATGTTTTTTATCAAAATTAACCTATAAAAAAATATTTATTATTTGTTAACTTTTCTTAAGGTTTTACTCCGACAATTGCGTCATGTTGTGGGTTTTGCATCATTTCTTTACAAAATTCAAATAAATCTATTAAAAAACTTATTTAAATGTAACTTTTATATACAAGTTAGTAAATGATTTTTATAATTATTGGTCTTTTTTATATTTACGCAGTACAATGTTAAAAATTTGTGGTTGTTTAGACAAAATAACTCTTTTAGACACTTAAAGATGGGGTATATTTCTGTATTTGTTAAAATATATAGTTACAAAAAGGAATTTTTGTAATAATAAACTTGTTTTACATAGCAAATTTTTAGTTTACTTTTTTAAAAAAAATGTATAGTTGAATTCACTACATGTCTAAAGTGCAAATTATGAAAACTTGTTAATTATTTTGTGAAAAAAAATTAAAATTTTTTAGCATAATATTTACACTTTGGTTTTTGAATATTTTTGTATTTAAAATACTTTCTACATATTTAAACTTGTTTTTGTTTAATTAATTTTTGCTTTTTAACTTTGGTTTAAATGTTTCCTTTTTTTACAAACAACTTCTTTATTGGAACTTTGTTTGTTTAAGAATTTTTTAAAAAATAACCCCTATAAATGACAGAAGTAATGAAAAATAAAGCTGAAAATTCTGAACGAGAAGTAAGTTCTACTGAGGTAAAAAAACCGTTGGAAGAAACTTTAGAAAAGAAAGATACACAGGTTGACAAGAAGGAATTGACGGAAAATGCCAAAGAAGAGATTTGTGAAGCATCTGGTAAAGCAGATAGAGTGGACGAAACTGTAGAAACCAAAGCTGAAGTAGGATGGGATGCACCTGTTGAAACTAAAACTGAAGTAGGATGGAATGCACCCTCCGAAACCAAAGCTGAAGTAGGATGGGATGCGCCTGCTGAAACCAAAGCTGAAGTAGGATGGGATGCGCCTGCTGAAACCAAAGCTGAAGTAGGATGGGATGTGCCTGCTGAAACCAAAACTGAAGGTGGATGGGATGCGCCTGCTGAAACCAAAACTGAAGGTGGATGGGGTGAAGTATCTACTTCTGCTTGGGATGTACCTATTTCTAATACTGAAACAGAATCTGCCAGAGAAACGAATGATTACAGAAATAAAGAAGGAGATAGAAGTTACAATGAAAGAAATAACAGTGGAGATTATCCCAGAAAGAGATTTGATAGAGAATCAAATAGTAGAGGTGAATCATCCTATGGTCAAGAAAAAAGATTTAGGTCTGATAGGGAAAATGATCGTTATGGAGACGATAGGCGAGGAGGTTATCAGCCAAGAGAAAGAGAATACGGGTCTAGAGATAGAGACTATGGATCTAGGGACAGAGACTACCAGCCAAGGAATAGGGACTATGGATCTAGGGAAAGAGAATATCAGCCAAGAGAAAGGGAGTATGTTTCTAGAGACAGAGACTATCAGTCGAGAGACAAAGACTATGGATCTAGAGATAGGGACTACCAGCCAAGAGATAGGGATTATCAGCCAAGAGATAGGGACTATCAGTCAAGAGATAGGGACTATGGGGGTGACAGAAGAGGAAGCTATGGATCTAGAGATTCTGGATACGAAAGATCTGCTGGAAGAGACCGCTATGACAGAAATGGTGGTTCTTACGGACAAGCACCAGAAAATAGGCAACGTTCATACGACGCACAGCCAAAAAAACCAATACCTGCAAATGTTCCACCATCCAGAACACTTGGACTATTTGGTCTTAGCTTGTATGCCACTGAAGATGATTTAAGGGAATTTTTGGCTGAAGAACTTCCTGATATTAAAGACTATAAGCTTACAATTATTACAGACTATGAAACAAAAAAAAGTCGTGGCTTTGGATTTGTCTATTTCAATTGTCTTGAAGATAGTATCAAAGCTAAAGATTTTCTTAAGGGAAAATCAATTAAAGGGAAGGAAATACGCATTGATTATTCTGTAAGCGACGTCCTTAGACCCAATTACCATTAAAATTAAACTTTTATGATATTTGATTTATGAACTCATACATTTACTTTGATTAATATACTGTTGGATTTTTTTAATAGCCGCTAATATGGCTGCAATGGCTATTTATGCTGTATTTTAAAAATTGATTATAAATTTTTAAAAGGCAATTTTCTAAATTAGATAATAAATTATGGGGATTATTTACTTCACAGTTATCACTTACGCTTTAACATATTATGTCCTAAAAAAATGTAGATTGTATATTGCTAAATGACTTTTTTAAAGTTACTTGACTTAGTACCTAAATTTAAAATTTTAAAGATATTGTTAAGCTTTTAGTAATGTACCAGTCGTTGTATTTAATGCACGTAAATAATATAAATTTCTTTGATTAATACAATTAGCATTGTGTACATTGCTTTATAAAAATTTTTATTGCACCAATAAGATAATATTTTATATAACAGTATCAAGAACTTGCTTTAAAATATTTTAAAGTGTTTGACATGTTTGATTTCTATTTTTTTAAAAAATATAGTATTTTTAATCTAAATTTAATTTAATAATATTACAAAAAAAAGATTGTAAACAGACTTGGTACTTTTATATGGTGTATAAACATGTTTTTGAATGGGGTGTATTTAGCGTAAGAAATTATATACGACATCTATAAATTTTTAAGACTTTTTTAGATATTAAAAAAATTTTAATTTTTTTATTTACATTAAAGCATGTTTACTTAAATATATCTGTTTTAGTGTTAGAAATATTTGGTAAAAATTCAACATAACATATACAAATTTTAAAACTTTATACAATTATTAATTTTTACTTGATGTGTTAAAAATCTGATTTTTAAAAGCTTTAGTAAAGATACATTTATAATTTTTTATTTCATAGACCTTATTTACAACTATTTTGTATTGTGAATACAATTGCTTAATAAAAATTTTATTTAGCTAATTGCAAAATAATTTTTTTATAGCTATTAAATATGAAAGTAAACACTCATCGTATTTTATTTTTATATAAATCGTAAAATATCAAAATTTATTGTTTTTTACAAAAAAATCAGGCTTTATTGTAATATATATCTATAAAAGAATTATCAATACTATTTTTTGCAGAAAATTTATAAGCTTTTATATTATGTAAACTTTCAAATGTAAAATAATGTTACTTTTTAAAATTTTAATTTATCTTTTTTTAATTTATAATTACTTTTAATATTTGATTATTTAAAATTAAATTTTGTTGTATTATTAAATGTATATCTTTCTATATCATAATTTTTCAATAATTCATTCCATTCTTTAATAAATCTTTTTACATTTTTTTCATAAAGAAGGTCAATTAAATTAAAAATATATTTAAATACTCTTGTATATCTTTGTTGTATAAGTTTCTTAATGTTTCTGTCAAATATCTCTAGCTTAAAAATAAATAAATCTAGTATTTTAACTAAATCAAAATTATCACAAGTAGAAATATATCCTAAAACTCCTATAGTAATATTCAATTCATCAAATAAATTAATATTTTCGATAATAATATAAATATCCTTTTTACATAAAATATCATAACCAATAATAATATCTTTGTATTTTTTTAAATTGTCAAATAAATAATCTCTGATATATTTACTTTTATCAACTAAATATCTAACCAAATATTTGTTAAATAGACCCTTATCAAACTGACAGAGAAGTAAACATTCTAATCTTATTTTGTAGCATACATCTCCATGACTGTTTAGATAATAATTTTCTAAACCTATTAAAATTTCATTTTTAAATAACTGAATATCACCTTGGTAAAATGACAAGGATTTGTAAATTGCAGTAATGTAATCAATATTTGAATTCAACTTAATAATAGATTTATATTCTGAAATTATAGTGTCAATATTATTATTGTTTCTTATGTTACCAATAATAATATTATGATTCGTTTTCTTTCTATTTTTAAAAATATAATCATAAACAATTTTAGAATCAATAATCCAAATAAGCTGAAAAATCAACGAATTTTTTATGTTTTTAGATAATATAAAAATAACATTGTCAATAGTTTGTTTTTTGTGTATTATTTCATGCATAATACTGCTATTTTGCAATTTATTATCTTTTGAAACGAGAAATAAAACTTCTAAATATAAATCAATTAAATTCTCTATAAAACGATATCTAAATAAAGTACTAATATCGACATTAAAAAAACTTATCAAAAAATTTATGTCTTTTTCATACAAAATTGTAAACTTAAATTTAAAACCTAGATCTAAATAGTCAAAAATTGTTTCATATGTATTCTTTTTTTGTATTAAATAACCGTATTTGATAATAATATGTGAGCGTAATTCTAAGAAATTAATATCATTATTATTATTTTCTATGTACTTTTGAATTTGTATATTATAAACTTTACTAATAGAATCATAAGATTTTAATAAATCTTCAGTTCTTTTTACACAAATATCAATATTTAATAATTCCGATAAAATTGAAGCGGCTATCCTTCTTATCTTAAAATCTTTATCAAATATACATACATATATTAAAATATTAATTAAAAAGTCAGAACTCTTATTTCGAATAATTGCATATATCAAAAACAAAGTATATTCTCTCAATAAAGAACTTCTGTAATTTACATCATCACAGTTATAAAAAATAGCTTTCTGAATAATCGAAGGATTAATATCAATTTCGTAGTGCTTAAAAATAAGAGATCCTAAAATATGAAAAGAATTAATCCACAGCATCTCGTTAGCAAAAATCGTATCCAAGTTTTGCAATAAATTTTCACAGATTGTTTTACATTTAAAAAATCTAAATACTCTTAAAAAAGATCTGCACAAAACATAGCCAAATTTAAAATTATTATAATTTAGATATTGAAAGAAAAGATCAAGTTTTATAATTGAGGGATGATATTTATACTGGTGCGACAAAATTTTAAACTTGCACATAAGTATATAAGGATCATTTTCATCTGAAAAAAGCTTTGTTAAAATTTTACTAAATGTATGCAAATTATTTTTTTCCACTCTATTTATACTTTCTTTGCATAAATTTGTTTGTTTAGATAAAGTTTGTATAATTGCAGAAATAATGCCTTTATCTAATTTTTTGTTTTTGCTTTCTTCTTTTAAAACTTCATAAAAATCAAAAATATTTTTTTCAACAATAAATTCAAGAGGTAAAAACAATACACATATTTTTAAAGATAATTTTTGTTGAATTATATTCTTATAAACATAATTATAAAGTACATTTTTAGTTTCATCATCTAAAACTTTATACCAATCAAAAGGATTACTTAATATTGCTAACACCCACGTTTGTACCACAAAAAACAACATTGTATCTGTAGAAATTTGTATATCCATGTTTAAAGCGAGTTTTAAAACTTCATTTTTTTTATAAGTAGTTGGTTCCTTTATAAAATCTACAATTTTTGGTAAATTTGTTATGTCTCTATTACAATAAATTGAAAGTTGCTTAAAGTTCTTTTTACTTAAAAGGTCTTCTATTTTTTTTAACGTTAAAGAAGACATAGAAGGGATTTTAAAAAAAGTTTTTTTTCTTAAGGGTTAAATGTCAGATTCAAGCAGCAGTGACATAGAAGAACTTGGTATCAATCTTCAAGAATTTAGAATGAAAAGACAGGTAAGATTTGGCTCTCGAAAAACTATTACATCGACAAAAAAAGATATAGATCTTTTAGATACACCACCCGAATTAGATTATTATAATTTACTTAATAAAGGAATTGCAATATTAAAAAAAGATAAAGAGAACGGTGAAACTAATAAGCTTAAGTTACCGTTAGATGTAAAAAAAGAAGGCAGAAAGACTAAAGTTAATATCCGTGAAATTGCGGAGATACTTGATAGAGATGAAGAACACTTAGTAAAGTTTACAAAAAATGAGCTTGTTACAGATGGATCTGTAAAAGAAGATGGATATTTATGGCTTAAAGGAATCTATTTAAAAACTGATCTTCAAGAAGTTTTGAGAAAATTTATCGAAAATTTTGTTGTCTGTTCTATTTGTGACAGCGTAGAAGATACATCTATTATAAAAGACAAAAGACTGTACTATTTAAAGTGTGACAAATGTGGTGGTCGTCGATGTGTTGGAAATATTACAGAAGGTCTAAGTAAAAAAAGCAATACTAAACCAAAACTAAGAGGAATAATATAAAGCTATGTGATAAAATAAAAATTATTTTATAGTAGTTTTTCATTTATTTCGTTTGCATTTAATGTACTAATCCCTTTTTCTGGTAATTCTTGTGCCATTTCTTTATAAAATCTTTTTGCTATGCTTAATACCATATCAATACTTAAATTACAATTACCTTCTTCCATAAAGCTTTGTATCCACTTTGGCAATTTAGTTTTCTTGTCCTTTGAATCAAATCTTTGATCCGCTAAAATCATCAAACCATAATCCTTTTTATTTCGCAATACTCGTCCTAAACACTGTGCGGTGTGCCGCATAGCATCAAATGTTAAAAAATCATATTCTCTGATATTATATTCCGATTTTAAAAACTCCAATCTTTTCTTTAAACGTACACTCTCGGTGTATTGAAAGGGTACACCTATCATAACAACACATCTTCCATATCCATCTTCAAAATCTACTCCCTCAGATACTTTACCTCTTGCAACACAAAATAAAACAGCACCTCCTCCACATCGACACGCCTTTTTATAATTTGAAATGGCAAGCTCTGTTTCTCTAAAATCGGGAGATTCAATAAATACAAGCTTATTTGTCATTATATCATTTATTATCGTTGTTTCTGCCCAAAGACTAACAATTTCTTCCATATAAATATATGACGGAAAAAAACAAATAAGGCCATCTGGTACAGATTTGGACAACTCAATCAATAATGTACCATAATTACGCACCACTGATGGCTCGCTTCGGAGTGAAAAAGATGTCGTTATGTTATTTACACCGCCATCTTCATTTGTTGATTTTACGGTCATTTGATCATTTCCTTTTGTTAAGATTAAAGGCGAAATAGAATTTCGATCTAGTGTTGCGCCTATCTCTACTATTTTTTTCGGTACAAAATTTAAAATTTTTGGGTACATTTCGATAGGTGATAACGTACCGCTGGTAATTATTACATTGTTAAATTTAGTAAAAACTTGTGATATAGCAATAGAAGAATCTAAACATGCTAATCTAAGAATTGGATTGAAAACTGTGTGAGCCTGGGTATCAAAAGGTTCAAAAATAACTGAAAATCCTTTTGAATACATTGAAACCATAGTACCAAAATCAGCAACTCGTCGCAAAAAGTACAAATTATCGTCTTCAAAATCTAAAGTTTGAACTAACAGACCTAATCGCTGAGAACAAAAGCTTAATGTTTTTTTATTCAAAAAAGTTAAATCTTTTATAGATTGACAAAAACTAGCAGGTGTTTCAGTTGTTAAGTGGGTTGTTTTTAGTTTTGTCTTAAAAAATTCTACAAGCCGTTTTAAGACACCGACAAAGTGTGCAGAATCTCTTAAATTTCCAGGTACAAATTCAAATTTTTGTTCTTCTTCAGCATAGAAGTGCGGAATGGTATCTTCAGTATAAATATTAAGCGTTCCTTTCATTTTCTGGTATTCTTTCAATAAAATATTATGTTGTTCTTTTTTTTTGTTTTCTAATAATTTTACAATCGTCTTAAGACATCTTGTCGCATTATCTAACGTATTACGTTTTATTTCGAAAGTGAGCGCTTCAATACAATGTGAATCAATATTATGTGCTTCGTCAAAAATAATAATACAATTTTCACCAAGATCTTTACTTACAATTCCATAAATTTTAGGATCTATTAGATAATTATAAGTATAAATTATACAATCACACATCCCTAGACCATTTCTTATCATGTAATATGGACATATGCCTTTAGATTTACCAATATTAATTAATTTATCAAGCGTATAAACACCTTGCGGAATTGTAAAGTCTTTGTATAAATTTGTATAAAAATCACATTTCTCTAAATCTCTTAATTTCTTACATGTTATATCAATATTTCGACTCGACAAAGCTTCATCGTTTACGCACAATATTTTCTTAGCAGTTAAACCAACCCCTAAAAAATCAAAATTGATATACTGTTTAATGTAATTTATAAGATTTTCTAATTCATAAAGAGCTTTATCTATTTCAGAAACGGTTCTTGAACAATAAACAAGTTTTACTTTTTTGTTAAAAAATCTTTTCATGTGGATTATATAACTAACAGTGATACTTAGTAATGCTACTGTTTTACCTGTACCAGAAGGCATTTCTATTAGTATGTGACCATTTGTGTCTATATTACTCTTTAATTCTTTAATATATTGTAACTGCTCTGGATATATCTGTGAATATGGAAAATAAACATCTAGATTGTCTAGTTTAATAATCATAAGGGGATATAAAATACAGCATTAAAATTCTGTAAAGTGATAAGTATAACTTTTAAGATATATAAAAACTCTCTTTTTTAATTAAGTAAAAGATAAATAAAAAAAAGGCTTGTTTTATACAAAATTGAAAAATTTAAATGACAAACATAAAAGATGCTTAAAGTTAATATTTTATTTTTGATAGCTAGAAAGGGTACAATAAGATACAAGATAACTTTAAATAAAAGTTATCTAGAGATAAAAAATTATAATATTTCCTGTTTTTTATGCTGAGGCTATGCTTTCTGGCTTTACCACATCTACTATTTGATTTTGTCTAACACACTCATAAATATTCATGGGTACTGAAGTTTTAAAAATTTGCAATGTATCTTTGTACATGCAACATTTTTTTATTTAATATGAAAAGGTAACTATTTAACAATATAACTTAATTAACAAACTTTAAATAATTGTAAAAGTTTATTGCAATTTTTTGGCTTTCTCATTTATAATGTTTCCCAATATAAATCCAAGTAATCCAACACTTGCTGGAATAAACTCAAGCACAACTAATTTAAAAAATAGCTCTGCATTTTTCGCATCTGCAAGACTTATTACACCACAAATAACTCCTACAGCTGTACTTGAAAAATAAAATCCACTTCCTACAATCATTCCAGAGCATAACAACATATAATTATTTATAATTGTGTTTTTCATTACATTCATTGTTACAGACATACCTATACAATGTAATATTGTAATAATTAATCCTGCCTCGCATATCACTGTTCCAAAAATACTTTTGTTACTAACTCTTGGGGTGCTTATACAAACACCTGACACATATTTGGCTATAGATGACATTCCCCTAACAGTACCCAATATACCTAAAATAAGACACATTATTATTCCTACATATCCAATAGCAGAATAATTATCTTCTTTCTTTAATACAATTGTCAAAATTGGTACAATAAAAATTGATGAATAAAATAAAACTTTTAACATTTGGATTGAGGGTAATTTTTTTTTATAAAAAAATGCTCCGACTGGGATTCGAACCCAGGACCTTCGCGTTATTAGCACGACGCTCTAACCTGCTGAGCTACCAGAGCTGTATATTTACACAAATATAAATACTATAAATTAAAATAAACCTTTTAGGTAATAAATTTTGTACCCAAATGAAGCTATACGATTTATTTTTTAATACTTTAGCAACTACAAACGATTTTGAATTAGCAATTAAAGCCGTAGAAAATGAGATATTAAAAAGAAAAACATGTTTACCACTACAAAATTCAGATACATATCAAGATCTTAAAATTAATTTAGAGAAAATTATAAAACTAGAAAATAAACACAAACTTATTACGAAAATAAAAATTCCAAAAAAGAATAAAAATAATTTAAATAAATAATTTTGCATAGCATTTATATAATTATTGAAACCAACTTCTTTATCCCAAAAAGTAAACAAATAAAAGCTACATAGATACTAAGCCTTTCTCCTATTACACTTAGTTTATAAAAGGTAGATGGTATTCCTTTAGTTCTGTTAGTAATCCAAGATGGAAAATGTATCTTTATGTATGTGACTGTGCATATAAGAAGGATAATTAATCTGCAGCATGAATCAAAATGGAAGAGGGCTGACATAAAGGGATAAAAAACAATTTTATTTTCAACCAAACCTTTCTTTATTTTAAAACGAGTGTGTGTTGTGTAACAGTATGAAATTTTTATAATGATAATAGAAAATTTTTATTATACAAAAGTAGTAATTTTGTAAACCTACTTAGTCTTTATTTTCTGCACCCTTAAGAATGTCATTTACACTTCTTACACAACAGGAAATAGAACAAATACCACATATTATCTATGAAAAGATACTTATTGAATATAATAGTGTCTTAGACTTGAATACATCTGTAAATCAATTAAATATACAAAATCAATATAAAATCAAAGATTTAAATAAACAAATTGATCTTTTACGCTCATCAATGTACAAAAACAATTTAAAATGTTTTTTTTTAGAAATTGAAAATGAATTTTGTAAATTAAGAGTAGAGAACCTTACGAAGGTTTTAAATATTCTTGAAAAAGATAATATAAATAATAAAGAAAAAAAACAAATAAAGGAAAAAAATTCGTTATCTAGTAATATAGATCTTAATCTGATGTCGAAACTTATACGCAAGATAAAAACTCTATCGAAAAAATTAAACAATGAAAAGTTTAAATATAAAAAAATACATTCTGAATTTTTAAGTCTTTTAAGAACTAAAGATCAAATATACGAAGATTACTGTAAAAATTTAATTGACAGTAAAAAAATGGAAGAATATTCGAATATGTTAAATAAAAACATTGCATTAGAAAGAGAATATTATAAATTGATGGACATGTATAATAAACTTGATTATGAATATAATAAAATTATACTTGAAAACAGAGATCTTAAATATAAATATGAGAGATATATTTTAAGTAATAGAGATGACATAATTCCTGTTATAGGTAGAGAACTAGATTTAATTAAAGATAATATATTACAAGTTATTAGTAATATAGATAATATTTTTTGTAGTAATTTTTTGAATGAATTTTGGATGTATTCTAAATTACTAAAAAATAAAATAGATTTTTATAAGGAAACATTACAAAATGTAGATTTAATTAAAAATGAAATTGTAAATATTTATGATATTATAAATGTTATGCATAAAGACATTGATAAAAATAACAATTTGTTTACAAACTTAAGTAGAGAAACACAAACATTTAAAGAGATGGTAAAAGATATTTTTAAAGAGAAATTAAAGAAGGATAGTTATTCTAATGTTAATTATCTTTTTTTAGAAATTTACAGTTATAAACAAAAAATAAAAAAATTAGAGACTACTATTCAAGAAAAAGAAGAAGCTGTTAGTGAAAATCAAAAAATTTACGAACTAGAAAAAGAAAAGTGTGATAATTTAATTAATCAACTTAAGGAAAAAGAAGAAACTATAAAATGCAATATGCAAATTATTGATGAGAAAAATATAGTTATTGAGAAACTTAGGTATTTACTAACTAAACTTAAAAAAATAAAAGAGGAATACACTGCTTTAAAAAATAACACAAATTTAGAATAAAGTGTTATATCAAATTTTTAACAATAAGATTATTAAGATTTAGATTTTTAACTATTTTTTACTGCTTTTTGTTAAATTCCGCTTCATAAGCCAATTGCCGCTCTTTTTTTAATCTATTTTTTTCTTCTGCCTTTAATGCTTCCAGTGTTTCTTTGGTAGTATCTTTTGCCCCAATTTTCCATTTTTCATCTTCAATTGCATCCAATCTTCTTTGTTCCTCTTGTTTTTTTTCTTCTATTTTTGCTAATTTTCTCATTCTACCTTCATATTTTTTTTTACCACTACTTGTCCTGCTCATGGGTACCTTCCATTTGAAAATAATCAACACCGTCTTCTGATATTATTACATACGTTCCAAGTTTTGGTTTTACAATATAATTTAATATTTTATTTTCTAAATGTATAAGTATTTTATCATTTTTATATTCGATATTTTTTATATCTTCCATTTTTATGTTTTTACATTTAACAAGTACTTTCATTTTAAGGGAAGTAATTGCAATGATCCAATACATTTATAAAATTTTATTACAAAGATCCAATACATTTATAAAATTTTATTACAAAGATCTAATACATTTATAAAGTTTTATTATAAAGATCCAATACATTCATAAAATTTTAATTATAAAAATTTATAAATTTTAATTAAAAGATCCAATACATTCATAAAATTTTATTACAAAGATCCAATACATTCATAAAATTTTATTACAAAGATCCAATACATTCATAAAATTTTATTACAAAGATCCAATATATTTATAAAATTTTATTACAAAGATCCAATACATTCATAAAATTTTATTACAAAGATCTAATACATTCATAAAATTTTAATTATAAAAATTTAACACATTTATAAAATTTTATTATAAAGATCCAATACATTCATAAAATTTTATTACAAAGACCTAAAATACTTTACAATTCCTTTTCCACTATTTACTATATTTTTATGTTCTACTAACATATTGTTCATTCTATTTAAAAGTAGCAGACATTCTTCATTAAGTTTTTTTATGTCTTCTAAATCATTTGTAGACACTGAATCTTTATATTTGTCATTTATTTGTAAATTTTCTTCTTCATGACACGCAAGAAGTTTCATAGCATTTTCAATCCAGTTTTTATATTCTTCTTGAACTTCTTTACACATATCCTTTCTCATATAAGAGATATCTAATGTTTTATTAAATAATATATCAGTAAGTTCCGTCTTCTTAGTGTCTTTTTCTATCGTAGTATTATTTTCTAAGAATAGTTTTAGTTTATTTATAACTTTTAAATCCTCTTTAGATGAAGGAGGGAGCACTCTACAGATAACAGAAATTAAAGATTCTATTGAATTTACAGTTACTTTCTTAGACATGGGATATAAAAAAATAAAATATTGTTTACTAGAAGTTTTATTTATTTTAGAAAAATAAAATACTGTTTACTAAGACATTGGTATTAAATGATGTATTTAATGTATGGGTTAATAGTACAAAAATATTATTAACAACATTCAGTGTAAATAAAATGCTAAAAGATGTTTATAAATCTTGTGTGATTAATACGTGAAAAGAAAGAGTTTTATTTGCATTTTCAAATTACAAAATTACATGTTATTTATAAGAATAATGTTTTTGTAGCACGTATCGTATAAATTTATTAAATTCACGTTCTTAAAGTATTTGACTTCAAGTAGTTCAGCCAAAAGAAAACATTAAGCTTTTTTTTCAACATTCTTATTATAATTGGCCAATAATAATAATAAATATAATTCATTTGGTATTTTAACTCTACGAAAAAACAAGGTGCACTTTTCTTCAAAATTTAAAGCTATCAGATTCCTGATTGAAATATTAAGTACATTTTGTAATACGAACATTTTTCTCTATGGTAATCTTAAGATTAAATTTATCTTTCATAAACCAAGAAAATTAAAGTTTTTTGTAATATTTTTGTTTTAATTTTTAACTTTGACTTAAAAGTTTATATTTTTTCTAAAGCTTGCTTCATTTTACATTCAAAATTATGTTTTATCCCCCCATGGATTTATGGTATATTTCATTGTACGATTCTGAACTTTATAATGGATCACTTTTGTTATCAGAATATATTTATAAAAATACGGGATGTAGAACATCTTTCAAGTATTGTATTCTTAATTTATTTAAATTAGGCTATTATCACAAGATTATTGACATTCTAGAAGGAGTAGATCTTAATGATTATGACATTAGAATATCATATTATAAATCACTAGTAGAAACAGAAACTAATAAAAAAATAAAAAATGTACCATTATCTTCTTATAAAAAACCAACAATAAGCAATATCTTAGACAATCACTCAATTGAAAAATTTTGGTATGCTTTGACAAAAAAAGATATTCTAAAAAAAGAACTACTTATTGAAGCTTATAGACTTGATAATAAGAATATTGAATGTTTATATTTTCTAATTAAAGATGAAATGTGTACTGATAAAGAGTTTCTAGATCTTTTACAGTTAAACCAGGAATGTAAACTCCTCTCTGACATATTTTTATTTCCTTTTTCCATTACAAATGAAATAGAAAATGTAAGTGTAGATGTCTTAGAGTTCTACCATCCTTTTTATGCATTTATTTTTTCAAAGAAATTATTTATAGAAAAGAAAAAACTTCTTCTTTTTAATTTAAGTCATAAATCTTATAGGATATACATGCACTGTACCTATACATACTTATCACTAGCATTATATTTCTTTTTAATTGAAGATTATGAAGAAGCAAAAAGAATTCTACTTAAAAGCTTTGAATTTGATAAGCGAACAGGACTTATTTACATGTACCTAGGAATTTGTTATAGTAGACTTAGAGAATGCGAAAAAAGCCTTAATTGTTTTAATATCAGTAATAGGAAGATTGTATGTACATGGAAGACATATTATTACTTAGCCTGTGAATATCAAAAAATGACGAATTTTGATAAAGCAAAATTTTATTATTTAGAAGGACTTAACGTAGACAGAAATATAATGTTACAAGAAGGGTACATAAGTTTATTAATATTTTGTGAGAGTTATCAAGAAGCACTTTCGTATATTAGTGGCATTATAAAAAGTAAAGAAACAAGAAGATTAAATAATATTTTATTATTAAAATCTTACTGCTACCTGTTTTTAGGAAATTTAAACGAATCAAAAGATGCTTTAGAAAAGTGTAGAAAGGATTACAGATATTTTTGTACAAAAGGGTACATAGAACATTTAACTAATAATATTGACTTGGCATGTGATTTTTATAATAAGTCACTTTTACTTAAAAATAGTAGTGTAATAGAAGATCTTATGACTAGTGCAACAAGGCAGAATAAAGAGAATGATGTATATAATTCTTGTACAGAAATATTTGAGTATGTGTTTATTAGTAATCAAGATATAGAAATAATATGAACTATTAAATTTAAATATATTAAAGTTTATAAATTTATTTTTATTAAATTTAAGAATAGGTTGTAAAAAAATATATTTATGCATAAATAAGTTTGCTATCTAGTAATCAAAAATAACTTAAATGGCCAAAATGAAAGGATTGTTGTTGTTACCTAAAATATGATTACTAAAAAACATAGGATTATTTAAAAATAATATTATAAATGTAAACGTGTCAAACACCTCATAACAATAATATGTGAGATATTTAACATGAAGAGCAACATTTAACAATTGTTCTAAGAAGTAGACAATTACAATATTTTTTTGTTAAAATATTTATGATTTATAGACTTAAATTAATAAGTTTTATCTTAAATATTATCTTATAAAGTTAGATCTTTAAATAACTTAATTTATAATTTTAATGTAAAATTAATAAACATATTCTTTTAAGTTTGTTATAAAAAAATTTTAAAAAATGGTAGTAAGAACAACTTAATTTATAATTTTAGTGTAAAAGTATTTAACATATTCTTTTAAGTTTGTTATAGAAAAATTTTAAAAAATGGTAATAAGAAAAATAAAATACGCATCATTCGTAATTTTTAAAAATCTTCAAAAAGCGTATTCTAAGATTAACAAAGAACAGCAAATATTCTATGGCTATTTAATGCAGTTATTATTCTAATTAAGATTATAGTATTACGATGCGTGTTTATAATCTACTACTTCTGTATTTTAATAATCTCTTGTCATTCTTTTACCCCTTTATGACTAACACTGAAAGCAATAAAGAAGACGGTGTTACTTGTCCAATTTGTTTTGGTGAGTACACATCATCTGGTGAACACAGGATAGCAAGTATGAAATGTGGTCATTTATTTGGATATTCTTGCATTTTAGAGTGGTTTGGAAAGCGCAAAATGGTTTTATGTCCTGTCTGCTCTTCTAAATGTTTAAAATCACAAATAAGACTTATTTTTTCTTCTAGAGTTGTAGCTCTAAATACAGAAACAGAACATAAACTTGTAGAACAATATTTAAATAAATTTAATGCTAAAAATAAACTTATAGAAGAAGTTAGTCGTCTTAAAACAGAAATAGATATTTTAAAACTGAATAATAAAACAGAATGTAACTGTAAAAGCTTAAAAAGAGAACTTTCTCTAAAGATGGATTTTTTTACTAAAATTAAGGTTGATGAAATATCTAATACAAGTACTATTCTTTACGATGAACTTAACGGTTATATTTTATTATCAATAATTAGAGATAATGTGCCATGTCTACTAAAATATTTTGATTCTGGAATAATATTAAAGAAAACATTTAATGATTCTAGTCATATATCTCATATGAAATATATTGATGGTAATGTTATACTGAGTATAGGTAAAGTTGTATATATTCTAAATACTTATAATTCTAATATTATTTTTGAAGATAAAATAGAAAATAGGATTGCGTCACTGGGTACAAATGTAAAAAATAGAAATAAATTATTAATAGGAGATGATCGAGGAAATGTAATATTTTACACTTTGGGGTTTTCTAAAAGGGTTATCAAAATATGTGATGTACCTATACATTCAATTTTTGAAACAGGAGGGTGTGTTTATATTGGTACAGTTTTCAATGTTTATAAATTAACACTTAATGTGGAGTGGGATGACTTTGTACAAAGCGAAGAACCACCAGAAATTGATGTATTAAATTTTAAAATAGAACAAATGACATGTGTAAATATTTTTGGTGAAGGTAATAATATAATAATTGTATTTAGAAATAAACATAACAAGATTTTACATTATTTGATTAATGAAGAAAATGAAAAAGTAATAAATTTGGGTTTAAAACAATTTGTTAAATACAAAGAAATATTTTTTAAGGGATGTATATACATTGTAGATGAAACTAATAATAAAATAATAGTGTTAGGAGATAATTATGAAAAACAAACAGAATATTCAGTAAATGAAAAAATAATAAGTTTTGATGTAAAATCAGACATATTGCTTATTCTTACCAGACAATTTATATATGTTTATAAGTAAAAATAAGTATATAAAAATATCTAAGATTAAGATTGTAGCGTAAGAATGAAAAATGTAAGAAGATTTACAATGTTTCTTATATTAGCATATGTACATTGTAGAGTGTCAATTTGAAAATCGCAAAATGTTTTTTTCTAGTTAGTTAAATAAAACATTTAGAAAAATTAACTAAAAATGCTATTTATAAAAGTTGTACTATCTATAATTGTTTAAATAAGAATTCTCAATTACAAGTTAGAAAGTATGCTCTTCTTTACTCTCCTGTTTAAATAAAAATTTTTATGCTACATTTAAGGAGATTTTTTAATTTATATGTTACAACAAACAAACTGTTTATGCAAATAACTATAAAAATCAAAATTTCAAAAACAAATACCCATGCAATACACAATTAAGGAACATGAAATGAAAAAAAAAAATTATAAAACACCTATAGATTTTATTGAAGATTATATTATAATGTATAGTAAACAGGCAAAGGTGCCTTATAAACTTTACTTTAAAAATTTAGAATATTCAAAAATATATGAAATTAGTTTATTTAATTATCTTGTAGAAACAAAAATTGAGAATTATCAAATACTTGAAAATTTGTTAAAAAAGATGGTAGTTATGCAATGGTGTGATCATACTTTTTACAATTTGACATTATCAATATTTATAAAAGGAGTTGCTATTGCTTTAGATAAAGTTATACAACAGGTAGAAGTACTGGATTTTACAAATGTTAATTTTCTTTATTTTTATTCTAATGCTAATATAAATTTATATTTTGTTATGGCATTGAAGATTGTTAATTGCTTACATATAACAAAAGAGAACAAGAATAGAGAAATTAAACTTAAAATTTTAGATACTTTTTGGTTTTTACTTGTAAAATGCTATAAAGACATAGAAAATATTAATAGAGCTTTAACAAGTTATAATCAATCTCAATTCATTAATAATGAAGAACTAAAAAAACGAGTATTTATTCCTGAAATTTTATTGGGAAGTAAAAGAATAGATATTTATGAACGAAAACAGTTAATGTCTTGTATTTTACAAGAAATTAAAATTAAAGCACAAAAAATGTGTACAGAAAAATTATATATTTTTATAGTAAATTTAATAAGTGAATTAATAATACGAGAAATTTGTGATGAATCAGAGCTTGTAGATTTTCATGAATATTCTAGGGATTTACTAGACCAATAATGTATTTTTTATTATTCACCCCTAATGCCAAAAAGAAAGTTTAGTGATGAAAAAGAAAATGAAGAACATTTGTCAAATGAAGATAATTTTGAAACATCTGGGATTTTAAAAGATACAGATGAAAATGTTAGTGAAGAAGAAATTGTAGAGGAAATTTTCAATAATGATAATTTATTGAGTGATACATATTCAGATACTTATCATCAAAGTGATTATGACACAAACCTGGCTGAATCAGTAAATGTAAGACAAAATGATATGATAGATAACGATTATCAGGATGTTGACTTGGAAAAAGTTCTTTATGAAAATAATCTTTGTAAAAATTTTATCGAAAAGCCATATTTTGTTGTATCGGTAAAAAATCTTTTTATCAAATTTCTTAATTCATTTAATAGTAAAAAATACATTAAAGAGATAAAAAAAATGTGTTCTGAAAATCTTGAAAGTTTATATGTAAGTTTTATGGATATTACGGAATACAGTGATGTATTACTAAAGCTTTTAGATTTATATCCAGAGCAAACACTAGAAATTTTTGAATCTGGATTAGATCAAATTGTTAAAACTTATTTTCCTAACTACGATCAAATCAAAAAAAAGTTACATTGCAGAATTATTGGGCTTCCAGTAAGTGAAAGCATTAGATCTCTTAGAAATAATCATTTAAATAAACTAGTAAAAGTTCGTGGTGTAGTCACCAGGCGTACTGGTGTATTTCCACAATTTTTTATTATTAAATATACATGCATGAAGTGCCAAGCTACATTTGGTCCATTTGTAGCTAATAGTTCTAAACCCTCGCATTGTTATGAATGTCAAAGTCGAGGACCTTTCATTATTAATAGTGCAGAGACAGTTTACAAAGATTTTCAAAAAATTACGCTACAGGAAGTTCCTGGAACAGTGCCGCCAGGTACATTGCCCCGATCTAAAGAAGTACTACTTTTTTATGATTTAATAGATTTAGCAAAGCCAGGTGAAGAAATTGAAGTTACTGGTATTTATAAAAATAATTTTAATGTATCTTTAAATATTAAAAATGGATTTCCTGTTTTTTTCACAGTCATTGATGCTATCTCTGTTGACAAGAACGTAGGAAAAGTAGAACTTACTGAAGATGATATCAAAGAAATCAAAAGATTTGCTAAAAATCCGAGAGCCAAAGAAATTATTTTTAATTCAATAGCACCTGGTATTTGTGGACATTACAATGTTAAAAGGGCAATTGCTATAGCTTTATTTGGTGGTGTAGCTAAAGAGAAGAATAATCATCGTGTTAGAGGTGATATTAACGTATTGCTATTGGGTGATCCTGGTACTGCAAAATCACAATTTTTAAGATATGTTGAGAAGGTTAGTAACAGGGCAGTGTTGGCAACTGGACAAGGTGCTAGTGCTGTAGGTCTGACTGCTTCTGTCAGAAGAGATCCTGTTGTACGAGAATGGACACTTGAAGGCGGTGCTTTGGTTCTTGCAGATAATGGTGTATGTCTTATTGACGAGTTTGATAAAATGAATGATCACGATCGTACATCGATTCATGAAGCTATGGAACAGCAATCCATTTCTATTTCTAAGGCTGGTATTGTTGCTACGTTACACGCCAGATGTACTATTATTGCTGCTGCGAATCCTATAAGAGGTGTTTATAATTCGTCTTTATCTTTTGCGCAAAATGTAAATCTTAGTGATCCCATTTTGTCTAGATTTGACATTTTATGTGTTGTTAAAGATGTCATAGATTCTACTGAAGACACGATTATGGCAAATTATATTCTTGATTCCCATGCGGGTAAAATACGAAGTTTAGTTGATACTGTAGATCATGAGTTTTTAAAAAAATATATTTTATATTCTAAAACACATTTCACTCCAATATTTTCTAATGTTAATGTTGACAAAATATCTAATTTGTATTCAGAATTGAGAAAAGAAAGTATTTCTTCAGGCTTACCTATTACTGTAAGGCATATTGAGAGTATTATTAGAATTAGTGAGGCATTTGCTAAAATAGAATTAAGGAATTATGTCACATTTGAGGACATAGATGAATCTATAAGTGTAGTTTTAGATTCATTTATGGGTGCACAAAAATATTCGGTAACAAAAAGCATGAAAAAGAAATTTCTTAAATATTTCAAAAAGAGTAACATTGAAGTCATAATTTTTATAATTAAAGAAATGTTTAATGAAAGATTACGAGCTTATAATTCTAATTATATTTACAAAGAAGAACTTGAAAAACAGTTAAAGGGATATGGACTTAGCTGTCCTCTTAATTTTTTTGAATCTAAAGAATTTATTGAAAGCGGGTTTGTGTTTGATAACGAAAAAAATTTTATATTAAAAAATGTCTAATAAATTATTAGTTTTTTTAAATATTTTTATTTTTTTTAAAATATCATGTAATCTTATAAAATTTTTATTTAAAAAGGAATAGTATAATTTTGAATAAGGACATTTTTTTTATTAAATTTAAGCAAACAAAATTAAACTATTTTTATTTGAACAGAGAGTTTATTTAAGATTTAAATGAATTTTGTGTATATTGAATTTATTTTTGATATATGAACTTACTGCAATGCAATTTTTGTTAATGATAATATTTTAAATTGCTACATATTAGTGTCTTGTAAAAGTAAAAATATTTTTTAAAAGATTAATATTTATAAAAGTAAATTGCCTCTTTTATATCACAAAATCTAATTAAACTTTTAAAACAATTTAACATAAAGATTTAAAATATTTATTTTCGTATTTGTTAAGACCAGTACCATATTGCATTGCCTTTTTAGGAGCACAAGATATTTTAATTAACCCATAATTTATTAAAAGCTGTCTAATAACAAATTTATCTTTTATTAATTCATCATTAAAATTAAATGAATAATTAATAACATCACTATCTAATAAAGGCAGTCTTGCTTCTAAATTGTTATTTGAAATAACACGATCATCTCTAGAAAGATTATTATAAGACAAAGTTACTACATCTAATAACATCCTATGTCTGCAATTCTCTTTTTTATATTTACTATAACCACCAAACAATTCATCAGCACCACTTCCTAAAAAACACACTTTAGAATATTTACGTGCTTCTAAAGCTGTATAGTGTAGAATAAATCCAATATTAAAATCCATGCTTCTCTTTTTTGGATAAATTAAATTAGAAATATTTATGTAATTTGATTTAAGATCATCTAAATTAATATTAACACGTATAAATTGCCACGATCTTTGTATATATAATCTTTTTAGCTCCAAATAAGCATTTAAACCGGCTTTTCTATCGTGCGAATCTTCAAATCCTGTATTGATTAAATATATTGTTTGAGATAAATCACTTACTAAGTGAAGATACAAAGCTACTAATACGCTATCAACGCCACCACTAAAAAATACGACAAGATTATTAGGTACTAATCTTTTTTTAAACGCTTTTTTTAAAATTTGATCTAAAAAATCTACAGTTCCAGAATAGCTTCTATTCATCGGAAATTGTGAAAATTCCTCTAAAAGACCTTCAGATATTTTACAATCTTCTAAAAAATACTTCTTAAGATATTTATGTGACTCAATAAAATAACGTATAGAAAAATTTTGTTTCTTGTATGATGACATTTCACTTCGTTGTAAATCATAAGAATATAAGTTTAAATTGTCTAATTCTATCTCATATTTAACAGATGATAGCTGGAATTTATCTTTGCTTAGTCCTAAACTTTTTTTACCGACATCATCTTTAAAAAATAGTACAACATTCTGAAAAACGATTACCAGTGCCAATTCATTTTGAAAAATATTTATTTTTTTGTAAAACTTTTGTAAAAAATAAGATGGATTATCTATACAACACAAGCCATTAGTATTTAATACAACATTGCATTCTTGAAGTGTTTCGCATATCATATCGCTAATAAATAGTGTATCACTTTCTTTATTATTATATATTTCTCCGTTATACAAAAAAATAAAGTTTTGTGTTTTAATGGGTTGTTTTACAATACTACGTATTGCAAGAACCGAAGAACATATGTATAAATTATTATACATGATACATTGAAAAGAATCTTTGCCTCGATTATGTATTAGATTAAGTATTTCTTCATCATAATCCTTTGATAAATAAATTCCGCACATTAAAGGGGTTTATTTTATCCCTTATGAGTTCATTTATAAGAAATGCGGCAACTAAAAAACGGAAAACGGGAATTACAGTATTAGATAAATTTATTAATACTTTAGAACCCGGTACAATAATATTGATAAAAGAAGACGAGTATTCCTTTATTCATAATTACTTATTAAATATTTTTTTATCTGAAGGCGTTTGCGAGAATGAATCTAGAATTTTAGCTGTCAGTAAAAACGGGCCGGTAGAAATTTATCAAGTTGACAATGAAAAAGTTTGTGATGAACAGCTTAGTAAAATGTATATAGCATGGAGATACAATAATTTACGGCCCGATAAATCTGATTGTAAATTTTTATTGACTGATAAGCTGGATTATAGACACGATTTAATGGCAAAAAACGATATTACTGTAGATAATATTATTGAAAGACTAAATAGTTGTTCGAATTATAGAGTCGCATTATTTTCACTATTTTCTCCTTCTTATAAGGTTAATAACATTTATCAGGCATTATATAACATTAGAAAGGCAGTAAGGCTACATGGGCATGTTTGTATGATATCTATACCGACATTTTTTTATGATAAAGTGATATTTGATCAATATTTTGATATTGTTATGTCGTTAGATTCTAATTTTTTCACAAATTTATTACCTAATTACAAAGCAATAATTCATTTTGAAAAAATAACTTTTTTAAACAAAATTCGTGAGAATAATACAGATACTTATAAATTTGGCATAAAATTTTATAAAAATAAACTTGTTATAGAGAAAATTGACATTCCTCCTGTTGATATCGAACAACCGTCTATCGATTGTAGGTCGTTTTAGTTAAAAAATAAATAAAGAATAATTTTTATTTTTTAACCGTTAAAAATGATTTATCTTTTTGAAAATGCAACGGGATTTACGCTTTTTAAAAAACAAGATGATAGAATAAAAAAAGTGAACTCATACGAGTTTAAAAATAATGATGAATTACTTGAAACATACGAACAACTTGAACAGAATAAATTACCAAAAAATTTAGAAAATTTTTTATTTTCTGAATTGAAGGATTTGAATGAAGTTCTGGCTGTTAGAGATACTAAATTACAAAAGCTTATTACAGAATCTTGCAATATTTCTTCTAAATATGTACAAGATGCTAATTTTAAGCTTATTTTAAGTGAACTTGATAAATTTACTAGCGAAAATAACAAGCAGAAAACACTTTTTTTGTCTCACAAAATGGCTCTAAAAAAGATAACTTATAATGCTGATAAATTAGATACAATGATTATACAATCTATAAATCTATTGGTAGATATTGATAAGGATATTAATTTACATTGTATGAGGATTCGGGAATGGTACGGTACACATTTTCCTGAATTGTCGTTAGTTGTAGACGATAATCTTCTTTATTTAAAAATTGTATCAATAATCGGAAATCGAAATACTTGTTCGTTTGAAAAAATACAACCTGTTGCTGGTGATTTGTCAGAAAAGATATATAAATTGTCTGTTAATTCGATGGGCACAGAAATAGCAGAAAATGATGTAGATAATATTATAAATGACTGTCAAAGTATTATTAAAAACTTTGAATATAGAAATAAATTATCAAGTTATATCAAAGAAAAAATGATGTGTATAGCACCAAATTTAACTAATCTTATTGGAGATTTTATTGGTGCAAGACTTTTAAGTAAAGCGGGATCTTTAGAATCCTTAGCAAAGTATCCCTCGTCTACTATACAACTTTTAGGAGCAGAGAAAAGCCTCTTTCAAGCACTTAGAAATCAGTCTAATACGCCAAAATATGGTTTAATTTTTGAGTCGTCATTGTTAGGACAGGTGTCTTCAGAATATAAAGGTAAAATTGCTCGTACTCTTGCAGCAAAAATATCTCTGTGTGCAAAAATTGACGTATCATCTAAAGATCAAACCGGTAAATATGGTACTGATGCAAAGAATAAAATATTAAACAGAATAAAAAATTTAGAAGATGCTAGCAGACCTAAAAAAAAAGTTATTACAAAATCAAAATTTATTGTTAAAGAAGAAATAAAATATGACGATAAAAATGATATAAAACGCAGTAAAAAAAATTAAACATTTACTTTTTTCTTTGAATTTATAAATTTATAAATTTTTTCCATAATCTTTTCAGGTGTAAATCCTGCTTCCTTATAAACATCTTCACATTTACCACTCCATCCAAATCTTTTGATTCCTATTTGATAATCACTGTATTTTTGCCAACCAAATGTCGTTAAAGCCTCGATACTGATTTTAGGTATTTTTTCTGGTAAGATTTGTTTTTTGTATTTCATTGTTTGCATTTCAAAAATTTCCCAAGACATAAATGATACGACAGAAATATTCAAATTTTTGTATTTGGATTCTATTTGCATACATAATTCAACTTCGGAACCAGTTCCTAGTAATATAAAATCTGGGTTTTCATGTTTAACTAGATAATAAGCGCCTTTTTGTGCTTCATTTTCACATGACTGTTCAATAACTGAAACTTTTTGTCGAGTTAAAATAATTGCTTTTGGACCGATAAGCTTACAACAAGCAGATAAAGCACCCCTACACTCCTTAATATCACATGGACGCATCACTATCATATTTGGAGTAGCTCTCATGGTAGCTAGTACTTCTATGGGTTGGTGTGTAGGCCCATCTTCCCCAAGACAAATAGAATCGTGTGTTAAAACATAAATATTATTAAGTTTATCAAGGCATCCAAGGCGTACAGCAGGATATCCATAAGTTATAAAATTCAAAAATGTACTAAAAATTGGTATAAAATATCCATGGCCTGATATACCATTCATGATACCAAACATTGCGTGTTCTCTTATACCAAAATTAATATAATTTCCTTTCCTATTTTCTCTTGAAAAATCACTACTATTCGAAAATTTGTTAAGACATGAACTTACTAAGTCTGCACTACCGCATATAAACTTTGACTTTTTCTTTAATTTATCTAAAACAAGTGCGAAGGATTTTCTTGTAGCAAGCTTTGAATAGTCAAAAACGTTATCAACATATAAATGTTCTGTATCTAATTGTTTTTTCTTAACTGTTATTTTTACTTGTTTTGCTTCATCAATTTTTTTATGTTTGATGTTTCTCCATTCATTTAAAAGATCATCACTAACGTAAAATGGTATCTGAGGAATTTCATATTTTTCTTTAAGCTGTTTTACACCCTCTTCTCCTATTGGACTTCCATGTGCCTTTGCTTTACCTTCCAAAATGCAATCTCTGCCTATTTTTGTGTGTAAAATAATCATTTTAATTTTTTCTGTCTTAAAATCTAAAGCATTTCGTATCTCATCAATATTTTCACCCTCTACTTCAATCACATGAAAATTTAAACTTTCAAATCTCATAACTACATTTTCGTTCATTGATAACGATGTTGAACCATCAATAGTTATTTTATTAAAATCGTATATAAATGTGATATTGTTCAAATTTAGATTCGCTGCAATTGAAAAAGATTCTTGTGATATTCCTTCCATGTAACAACCATCTCCAAATACGCAGTAAACGTGATTATCGATGCCTAATTTTAGAAAAGATATGGCATAGCCGACAGAGTTAGCAACTCCTTGTCCTAAAGGACCAGTTGTGACTTCAACGCCTTTACATTTTTTTTCCCCATGTCCAGGAGTAACACTATTTACTTGTCTAAATCTTTTTAAGTCGGACATTGTAATAAATCCTAATAGATAATTCATAACGTATTGCAAGTTACAAGCATGTCCATTGGAAAAGATAAAAATATCACGACCTGGCCAATATTCATCTTCTGGATTTACTTTAAGATATTCTTTGTAAAGTATGTATATAAATGGTGCTAAGCCTAAAGGAGCACCAGGATGTCCGCTATTTGCATGTTGTACCATGTCAACAACAAGTGTTCTAACATTATAGATATTTTTGTTCATAAAAATTTTATTTCTCAAGTTTATAAAATTAATTTAACAAATGATATTTTGTTTCAAAATATGTTTTACAGTTAAACGTTTAATAAATTTTAATTGTATGTTAAAAAATATGAAACAATGGAATTTATTAATAAAAAATATTATTGCTTTTTCAGTTGAGGTCTCTCTGTTTTATATAAATGGAGGTTTAAATTTTTTTAACCTTAAATTTTAAAATGCTAAACAAAAAATTAAAAAAACAATTTTATTGAACTTTGGAAAGAATAATTTTTATGATTTCTAAGTAACATAAAACGCATCAAATATGGCAAAATTAAGGTTCTACACCAAATGGGTGTTTTTTGGAATCAATATCATTTTTTTCACTTGGGAGAAATAATAACATTGTTTTTCTAGTCAAGCTACCTAACCTATTCAACTGCTTACCTAATCTAACGAAAGTCTGCATGATAAATATATATATAATTATTTCTTTCTGGGAAGGTTAATGACATTGTTCTGTTTTTTGTTTTATTGCAGATGATTTACCTTTAATAGAATTAATATTTATACTTGTTGGTGGGTTTTTAAAAAAAAATTGTGGTTTACTGTTTTATGTTTTTTCATATATGTTTATGTTAGGATAAAACATGGGTTTATCAAACAATTATTATTTATATAACAGACACGTCAAAGCCATTAACCCAATACTGCTGATTGACATGTCTACATCTTTACTGCCGTCAGTTTAAACTTTACAAATCCTTTCCAAAAATTAGAAAAAGCAATTGATTATTTTTTAAAAAATTTATTATTTTACACATTTTGTTCTAAAAAGATGGTCTTTTATAGCTTATAAATTTAGTTTTTATTTTTTTAACTTTCTATTTTAAAATTTGGGGTTAAAAAAGTTTGAAACTCTATTTATATAGAACAAGAGGCCTTAACTGAAAATTAACCTAAATATTTTTCAGGTACAATGATTAGCATTATGAATAAAATTATTGTTTATAAATATGTTTTGATAAATAATCTTTTAAAATGGTGACCAATAAATAAAACAAGAATCAAATATAAAATTTTTGTTGGAATTCTGCTTGATATCTTTTTTAAAACCAATAATATTAAATAAGCAAATTGCATTAAATAAAAATTAAGTTTCAAAAATAATGTTGTAAACATATTTGAAAAAAAAACATAAATTTACAAATATTCTTTTTCATATAACTTATGAAAGCATGTAAATGTTTTTAAATTTATCTGTGCATATCTGCATATATTATTTAATACAACAAGATTACTTAATCTTTTCTGCAATTTTAAAATATATAATATCTACAAAGTGACAGGTAACCTTTATATGCCCAATTTCATAAATGGCTTATGTTATTAAATTGTTAAAGAAAATAAATTGCGTTTAAACATAATTAAATAATTAATAAAAAATTTCAAGGGGGCAGATTTAAAAATAAAAATTCCTTTACTTTTTGTATAAAATCAACTTTTAAAATTAAAAGATAAAAAATAGCTTATAAAATATTGGCTTTTTTTGATGTTTGCTCTGCAATAATACTAAAATTTTATTTAATTTAAAAATTAAAATAGAAATTTGTGTAATATGACATTTAAGTTAACAATGATACAAATTTTAATTAAATTTTAAATGATGACCAAAATAATGTTCTATTTAATCACAAATATAATTTAGTAAATATTAATGACTTTGTTTTGCGAACTTAGTTTTACACAAGAACACGTATTTCTTTATTTACCGTAAAAAGTTAATTACTCCCAATTTCTTTTCTTACTACTAATTTATCATTTTAAAAGTATTTTCTTTTCATTAGTAAAAGATCAAAAATATTTTTTAGTATTTCATATTAGAAGTTAGTTTATAAATTAAAAATATTTGAGAAGAAAGAAGAAAATTAATCAAATTTTCTCTTTAAAATTTTAGCATTTACTTTAAAAGTAGGTATGACGAAAGTTTCAAAAAGAATTCTGCAATTGTGATTACAAACCAGAATAATGCTTATAAATATTATATTTTTTAATTTAATTAAACTTTAACTTTTTATAATAATTTTATTTGACCCTTTAATGGTCAAATTTTTTACTGGATGTGTCATGTCTGGAAAAACTAGATTGCTTTTTGATTTTATTAACCTCTGCTGTAGCGAAAATTATTTAGTTCTAGCTCCAAAATTAGTTGTTAAGGAAAATGGCAATAAATTAACGAGTCGAGCTGTTAAGGACAAATACATCACTCCAGATCTTTGTTTAACTGAAAATGATAGTATTTTGAAACTATTTAAAGAGAAACTTAAAAGAAACAAATCTATCCAAATCGTCTTTTGTGACGAGATACAGTTCTTTACGAAGCAACAGATTGATGACCTTTTTACGCTTGAAGAAGATTATGGAATAAAGGTAGTCTGCTTTGGGATTAATAAAACTCATCGAAATGAAGATTGGCCTACAATTGAGTACCTTAAAAGAAGAATCCTTGATATTACGACTCTTGAAGTAAAGTGTATGAGCTGTAGGGCAATTGCGAATACGAATATACGAAGTGATTATAATTTAGAAGAAGAAACAATAAGTATTAATATTAAAGATGGAGAAGAAAAATATTTTCCTATTTGCAATGAATGTTATAAGAAAAAAACTCGAAAATGGTTCTCACTCTTTTAATAAAATTTTTATTTTTATCGTCTATGTTGATTTGGAGGTAATAAAAAATTTTTAAGGCTACTATCCTAGGAGTAGTAATGTCGCTTGTCTCATTTTATTGAAGATATGAAATTTTATCATGTCTTCAGCGTATCCATTCGCTTTATGACATGCTCATATAATTAACTTTAAAATTTTAATAGCTGATCAAAAACTATCAAATTTTTCTAGAACACTACGTAAATTCGGTTTATCGACCACAGATTGACACAAACAAAAAAATTTAGTTGCGCATTCATGAGCAATCTTCAAAATTTAACCAAATTTTTATCCTTTTGCGTCACTTATTGCGATTATAAGAAAAGTTACTTTTATCAAATCGTAAAAAATTTTAATTTTATTAATGTGGAACTGTAAATTAAAAATTATTTATATTAAATATAATAACAACTTTGATGAATGTTTGTTATAAGTAATTATAAAATTTTTCTTTTTTATAGATTCGCTACAATTTTTTTCTTATTTGTTATTGTAGATTATCTTTATTGGATGTTTATAGGTAAATTTCTGCATAAAGAAACTAAATATAATTAAATGTTTTGATATGCCAAGGATGTATCATGCCTGTGCTCCTCTGGCATTGTATTGTCAAATAATTACTGTTTTTAATTTTTGTTACAATGTGTTAACATTCCTTTTTGGTAAAAATTAATTTTCTATTTGCAGATTGTACAATTGCGCTACATTTAAAACAAGATGTTATTTTACTTTAATTAATATAGTATACTTTTTTTTAACCCCAAATAATTTTACGTATAAAAAATTTAATGCATGATGACAATTTTTTTAACATTTACTACTTAAATTATTTTTTCAATTTAACTTTATTTAAATGGTCCCTCAAAGCATGCAGAATTGAATAAAAAAGTATAAATCACAATAAGTAGAATATTTTGTATGTAGTAAAACTCTATACATTTATATTAAACTTTAAAGTGCGGGTAGTTTATACATTATAAGCATTTTAACATCTGTTTTTGATAAACTTTTGCAACAAGTTGAGTCATTAATGCTAATTCTATAGAACAAAGAACGTAAAAAAAATTTACTATTTGAATTTTACAAAAGAATGTAGATGAAATTTACATTAAAATGTTGTAAAATTAAATATACTTTATATTAACAAAATTTAATGTTTCAGTTGAATGCTTTCTAACAATTACGTTACCATTTATAAACGTAACGATAGAAATTATTATATATGGAATGATTTCAGCTATTTTTTGTAATAGATGAAAAAAAAAGATTTGTTTGACTCCATAAAATATCTGTTAGTCAATTAATATTTACTTTTAGTTTCTACTTAAAGTTTATAAATGAAGGCATATATACGAAAAGCAACAAATAAAAATAATATCTTTCTGATTATTATTTAGAATTAAACATCATTAAGAGAAGTCACAAAAATTGATTAAAAAAACTAATATTTTTTTTGTAATTTCAACTTTGTCTAAATCTTCAATTTATTACTTTTTGTAAATTTCAATAGAAAACACCCATTAATCTATGTTTTCCATTTATAAAAGTCATCATACTAAGGCGCGCAAAAATATTTTTTTTTAACTAACAAATTTTAAAATCTTATGGTATAGTTAACAATAACACCACAATTTTATATATATTCGAAAACTTTTTTTAGTTTTATTTTTCATTTAGCAATGCAAAACAGTAACTGTGGTATAATTCTGATACCACATTTTAAGGTGACCAATGATTTACAATATCACGTTGAAACGTCATTCGTTTTAATGATTA